GTTAAAAAACATGTGGCTGAAAGAAAAAAAAATTATAAATTTATATTTTTTTAGGAAAAAAAATTTAGGAAAAAATTTAAAAAAAAAATTAGGAAGAAAAATTCTCCATTTTTAACTTAAAAAAAGGTCTTTTGGTAAAAATCGCTACGAGTAACCGTTCTCAAGATATCCGAATAATCATACATGTCATCATAAAAATTAAACATGTTTACTAGATAGTTTAAATTTCGAAAATTTAGGATTTTTTTTTTCAGTTTCTGTTCCAACTTTGCTTACAAATAAAATCTAGAATTATTATTTCATTGTAATAACTAATTAAAGTAAATACCAATTTTAAACCAAATATCGAAATTAGTTCGTAAATTGTTTGAACAAAAAGAAATTAAAATTCTATATCCTGTATCCCCAAAACGAAGAATCGAAGAATAAGTAAAAGAATCAATTTTTACTTATTTTTTTTTCTGTAGAATATTGTTGCCAAAGTTTCTCTACTAGAATCGGACCACCCTATATATTAGAAGAGTTTGTTACATTTATAATAAACTTATTTTTTATATAGAACTCCTGTTTAAATAAACAAAATAATAATGTTTGAGCCCTGTAAGTACAAAAACAGAAAAATATAGTTGTGAAAATTAGGTATACAAAATATTTTATTTAATTTTCTATTATCTAATATCTTTCTAATATCTCTATTTAATTATTTAACTAATCACCCTGTACACGAAAACAAGAATTATTTTGAATGTTCATTTAAAATGTTATTGGTATATAAATAAAATACAAAAGTATTTTCACATTTGTTTTATTTTTTAATTTTTTTTAATTTTTCAATCTTAATAATAAAAATTCTTTGGCTGGTTAAAACAAAAAGTAATAAAAATTATAACAATATAGTTTTCCACATATATAAATTAATAAAAGTATTATAAATAAAAATAATTGACATAGATAATTTTTGGTGCATACACGGCAATTTAAAAAAAATACGCCAATTAACCTAAGTCAAAATGTGTATTTAACGAAGCCAGTTATAGATAGAATTATTAATAAAATACATCGATGTATAGAGAACACTGAATCATCAGTAAATAATACCGTTGTTGCAAATAAATTATATATTATATTGACTTTAAGCACCTGTTAAATTATTTAAAATTCCGCACCTGCATTTGAGGTTAGATCAAGATCAGTACTAGAGTACTTATAAAGGACTATAAGGCCTTTTAAACCTATCTATGATCAAATAAAAATCGAATAATTGCGGTACTCACCTAATTTTTTCGTTTTTTTTTTATTCAAAACTGGCACTACACGTTTAGGGAATCCCGCACATTTAATAGTTTACATTTTTTCTGTCACCAAAACATAAATAAACAAATTTAAACCGAAATTTAACGTTTTATTGGTTGTCCCGTCGGTCGTACCCGTCGTACCGTGGACTGCGTACCATCGTGGTCTGGCGGTACTTCAGAGAAACGAAGCGTCGTGCATTAAAAGCTCTAGACCCGGTAGTAAAAGCTAATAAAATAAGCAAATACTATTTTTTCATTTACTATGATTAAAATGATTATTAAAAACTAGGTAATGTCAACATTACATATAAAAATTAGGTAATGTTTGCAATCATCATTTTCTGGTTCTGGATAAATGATGAACTCTTGTTGACTGATTCTGGAATAGATATTTTCAAATAGACAACATATGGTGTTTAGTTTGCAAAATCGTGGGGTTAAAAGAAAACAATTGCTTAAATTTCGAAAAACGTTTAGAGAAAGAATTGACTTAAAATATAAAAAAGTGCGAAATAAAACTTTTAGAAATGTGTATGTGTATATATGTATTTATATTTTTGAGACATTATTATTTAAGTGTCTTTTAAATCCTATCGTGGAAAATTTGTGTAAAGAACATTGACTGGATTTTTAGTGAAATCTCACTAGACCACCTGTTTGAAAATGTAAGGGTAGGTTTCATTTTAACGCAATTTGTATTTATTTTTAGATTTATTTTCCTTTAACTAAACATACAAGTACCTTGTAAGAAACCAATTAAATTTGATCGTGTCAATAAAAGCAAAAAAAAATCGACGCAATATTTTTAGATATTGACTTCCCTACAGTAATAACCACGAGCCGCCACTGGTTTAAATCACCACAAGAAAAAAACATAAAAAATAATATTTTAGTAAATTCTATAGTCAACAGAGTTACAGCTCTACATGGCCATGATGGTCTATGGAAGATATTATAAAGAACCATCGCGCAAGTCGATAGTACCACATGGTAGACCCAAACCCAAGTCGATGGGTAAATTAAATATATTTATAGATGCCCAGACCGTAAATTATAGATAGTACTGCGTAAAAGACATACCTTTAGTAGAGTATGTAGTATTAAAAATGGTTGTACACTAAATATTAAACAAAAACTACCTAAGTATTTGAAAAATTATTATTGACTAGCGTGTACCAGCGACTTCGTTCGCGACGAATTAATCATTTGTAATGGTGATGATAAAGCAAAGCAAAAAAATAAAAATAAAATGTTCTCACATTTATATCAGCATGAGAAAAAACAATATGGCGATATTATTATATAACTTGGTAATATTTGAGGGGTAGTTTCATCTCGTTGGAATTTGACGGCTTTTTTATGGCTTTTTACGTCAAGCAGTTTAAGCAGAATCGTGGTTAAGAAATTACCCAACTTTTTGGAACACCCTGTATGATTTTTTAAAAAATTTCAAAATATGTAAAAAAACCAAATAAATTATGCTTGTCCAAGCGTTTTCCCGAAAGACTAACCGTTTTTTAAATAACAAATATTGTAATATTTGAGGGGCGCGTTTTCACCCTCTTGGAATTTAACCTAACCTAAACCCCACAGTCAATCCGTTTGCCAAAAATCAGCTTTAAACGTCAAGCAGTTTAAGCAGAATCGTGATTACTCACTGGTAATATTTTATAAAACACCCTGTATAAATTTATAAAAAATCTTAAAATATGTAAAACAACAAAATAAAATATACGTGTTAAGAGTTTTTCCGAAAAACTCACAGGTTTTTAAATAAAAAATATTTTAATATTTGAGGGATAGTTTCACCCCCTTAGAATTCGGGTTTCGAAAAATCCCTTCTTATCGAACCTCTACACCCTAAAGTCAATCTGTTTTCCAAAAATCAGCTTTTTACGTCAAGCGCTTTAAGCAGGATCGTGATTAATCAATGACCAGAATTTTCGAAACACCCTGTATACATTTTTAAAAAATCTTAAAATATGTAAAAAAACAAAATAAAATATACGTGTTTATGGGTTTTTTCGGAAACTTGACCGTTTTTTAAATAAAAAATACTGTAATATTTGAGGGGTGGTTTCACCCTCTTGGAACTGAAATTTCGAAAAATCCCTTCCTATCGAACCTCTACACCCGAGAATCAACCTGTATGCCAAAATTGAGCTTCTTACGTTGAGTGGTTTGAGCAGGATCGTGATTAATCAGTATGTCAGTCACTTAAGGATTTTATATATTAGTATACATAGATTAAACTAAATCAGACAAGAGACTTTGTTATTCGTTCATTTCTAATTTTAATAACAACTAGAAAAATATAAATACATAACTACATTAGTCTCTGATTACAACCAGAATTACAATTTTTTTAAACAGCAAATTCTCTGTTCAAAATTAATGTTCTATTGTTTCCCTCACTGCTTGTATTTTTTTATTTCCCAAATATATTGCTTTAACCCAAATTGCCGGCAATTTTAAATTCCTTTATACCCTAGTCTCGTTACTTCTAATCTATTACAGGAATTCCGAAGGAAAATTAATCTTATTTAATCTCATTTTTGTAGCTGAGTATAAATTTAAGAATTTTTTTCATTAAAAATCAGTCCAAATTAGTTCTTGACCAAGTTAAAATGAACTTTAACAGTGTTAAACACATTTTTGCGTTATATTTTATTAAAAATTTGTTAGTTCTATGTGAATCGAGTTCCTGTGAGTACAATTCAGACCCTAACTACTTCACCTGTCAAAGTACTGGACGTTTTAGTAACTTAAACGACCTAAGTTGTACGACGTACTATTCTTGTTATAACAGTTCTTCTGGATATCTTCAAACCCTTCAAAACTGTTCTTTGGGGACATATTTTAACCCAGACATCGCAGCTTGTGATTGGTTTTATACTTGCCCATGTCAAGAGACTACTGGATATACTGAAGATGACAGTACTACAGAAAATGAAGATTCAGCTTGTGTAGACCAGACTTCAACTTCATTTGAATGTAGTGTTGAATTAGGTACAGGTTGTTTTCCTGATGAAAGCGATCGGTTTTGTAAAAGATATTTTTATTGTTATGTTAGTCCAAAAAAGACTGTGTATCAAGCTTTAAATCATGTCTGCCCTTCTGGAACTTATTTTAATTCAAGTAATAGTGATTGTGAATGTTCTGTAGCATATAAATCTGTTTGCCCTTGTAAGGAACCTTAAAATATAATTTTTATAGTAGATGAATTAAAATGATCTTTAATAAAATTTAAGTAACTTAGATATAAAATTTTAAAAATGGGAATCACAGAAAATATGTTATGGAATTTTTTTCAGAACACTTTGGGCCACCTTGTATGTGTTGGTGGCTTTATTTTTATTAATTTCTCTGAATGTTATACCAGGGTTCTGTAATAATTATACAGTATGATCGCGAAAAAAACGGCGTCCAGTCGTTAAAGATCGATGACTTTCTCGATATAATTTTCCTTATAAAATGAGAGCGATCTTCGTTCAAAGCCAACGCTGGCGCCTTTTTTCATCATATTGTAGTGGGTCTGTATAGTTTTAAGTAAGTTCCATCACCCAGAATTTTTGTTTTAGAAAAAATATATTTCAAAATAAGTCTGCCCTTCAAAATCTTATAAAATTATGATCTAATAAATTTTTTTTTTAATTATATAAACTGGGATAAACATGTGGATTAGGTTGTGAAAAACAATCAAAGTTGATTACAAAAATATATTTACTACAAACCTTCAATATACATAGTGATAATTAGTATTAATCCTACATTAAATACAATAAAACAATCTAGAAAATTGTCATAAACAGCTCGTGTGTATTGATTTTTCGCGATAAACAAAAATATTAAATACTGTTGCAATATTTCGATAAATACGAAGGCATTTCAAAATGGCGTGATATATAATTATATAAGAAATTATATTGTACAATATAATCGAAGAAAATCCACATAACGTAGTCCAAACAGAAATCGTCATTGTTTGTCATTTTAAAGCCCACTGAAACAGCGTATTTTTTCAGTCGTTTAGTATAAGTTTAAAATATAGACAGGGTGCCTTCGATAGATCATGTAAATATATTTTTTTCTCACTTAAAAATTAATTTTACACTTTTTTATAAGTTGTGTTATTTCTATCGACAAAAACTGAATAAAACTGCACAAAAAATGCTTAGAAACGTTTATAGGACACCCTGTATATTTACTACTACTACCTTACAATTTCTTAATAATCATTTACGAACAAGGACAAGAATAATTGCTATCGCATTTTTGAGTTTCTGGATTGAAGTTTGCTGAAATACAAGTCAAGGAGAGTTTACCTATGAAAGAGGGACTTCCTATGCAGTAATAGAATTTCTTACAAGTCTTGTCATTGGGATTAGCAAATTTTCCTACTTTTGTACAAGAAAACTTACCACCTGACAGACAATAAGGTTTTTCTGTACTGGTACTGATAGAAGAACTTTGTGCTTGTGTACTGCTACTTAATGATGTAGAGCTAGATGACCGAGGTACCGTATTATTATTGTTAGAGCAAGGGCATTGGTAATCTAAATCACAACTCCCTGTAGATGGATTGAATAAACCTATAGAACAGGTATAAGGGTAGTACCTTAGCTCTCCATCAGAGTTCCATACATAACAGTAATAGTATGATTTACAAGTACTATCATTTGGGTCTGCATATCTTCCTGTTTTTGTACAGTTAAAAATTCCTCCAACTGAGCAGTATGGAGACGAAGATGTGCTAGGTATCTCAGTAGTGGTTGTAGAAACAGTACTGTCTGGTAAAGAGGTAGTACTAGATAGTACAGAAGAAGTAGTATCGATTGAAGTGCTGATAGAACTTATTCCTGAACAAGGACATTCATAATCCAAATCACAACTACCGGTATTTGGATTAAAAACACCTAATGAACAGGAATAAGGATAGTACCTCAACTGTCCATCAGAATTCCAAACATAGCAGTAATAATAAGACTTGCAAGTACTGTCGTTTGGATCAGCAAATCTTCCTGTTTCTGTACAGTTGAATATTCCACCAACAGAGCAATACGGAGGAGGTGAAACAGTACTAAAGGCTTCAGAAGTAGTACTAAATGGTTCGGAAGTAGTACTAGATTGCTCAAAAGTAGTACTAGATGATTCAGAAGAAGTAGTCTCGATTGAAGAGCTGGTAGAACTTATTCCTGAACAAGGACATTCATAATATAAATCACAAGTGCCTGTATTTGGATTAAAAACACCTATTGAACAGGTATAAGGATAGTACCTCAACTGTCCGTCAGAATTCCAAACATAGCAGTAATAATAAGACTTGCAAGTACTGTCGTTTGGATCAGCAAATCTGCCTGTTTCTGTACAGTTGAATATTCCACCAACAGAGCAATATGGAGGAGGTGAAACAGTACTGAAGGGTTCAGAAGTAGTACTAAATGGCTCGGAAGGGGTACTAGATTGCTCAGAAGTACTACTAGATGGTTCAAAAGATGTAGTCTCGATTGAAGTGCTGGTAGAACTTATTCCTGAACAAGGACATTCATAATATAAATCACAAGTGCCTGTATTTGGATTAAAAACACCTATTGAACAGGAATAAGGATAGTACCTCAACTGTCCGTCAGAATTCCAAACATAGCAGTAATAATAAGACTTACATGTACTGTCGTTTGGATCAGCAAATCTTCCTGTTTCTGTACAGTTGAATATTCCACCAACAGAGCAATATGGAGGAGGTGAAACAGTACTGAAGGGTTCAGAAGTAGTACTAAATGGCTCGGAAATAGTACTAGATTGCTCAGAAGTACTACTAGATGGTTCAGAAGAAGTAGTCTCGATTGAAGTACTGGTAGAACTTATTCCTGAACAAGGACATTCATAATATAAATCACAAGTGCCTGTATTTGGATTAAAAACACCTATTGAACAGGTATAAGGATAGTACCTCAACTGTCCGTCAGAATTCCAAACATAGCAGTAATAATAAGACTTGCAAGTACTGTCGTTTGGATCAGCAAATCTTCCTGTTTCTGTACAGTTGAATACTCCGCCAACAGAGCAATACGGAGGAGGCGAAACAGTACTGGAGGGTACAGAAGTAGAACCAGACTGTTCAGAAGTAGTACTAGATGGTTCAGACGAAATAGTCTCGATTGAAGTGCTGGTAGAAATTATTCCTGAACAAGGACATTCATAATTCAAATCACAACTGCCTGTATTTGGATTAAAAACACCTATGGAACAAGAATAAGGATAGTACCTCAACTGTCCATCAGAATTCCAAACATAGCAGTAATAATAAGACTTACAAGTACTGTCGTTTGGATCAGCAAATCTTCCTGTTTTTGTACAGTTGAATACTCCACCAACAGAGCAATATGGAGGTGAAACAGGAGTGGTGGGTTCAGAAGTACTACTAGGTGGTTCGGAAGTAGTACTAGATGGTTCAGAAGAAGTAGTCTCGATTGAAAGGTTGGTAGAGCTCGTTCCTGAACAAGGACATTCATAATTCAAATCACAACTGCCTGTATTTGGATTAAAAACACCTATTGAACATGAATATGGATAGTACCTCAATTGTCCATCAGAATTCCAAACATAGCAGTAATAATACGACTTGCATGTACTGTCGTTTGGATCAGCAAATCTTCCTGTTTTTGTACAGTTGAATACTCCACCAACAGAGCAATATGGAACATTATCAGAAGAAGGAGTAGTACTAAGAAGTGTACTTCCACTTGAAGATGAAGTACTACTATGATCACACTCAGAACAAGCGTCACAGGGGTCACCACTAATAACCGTCCAGTTTAAAGTACCGTCCTCTTCACAAACACACTTATAGTCTTCAGTACATTCTTCTTTAACCGGGTCGTACCAAGTTCCCGGCAAACAAGCCAAATACAAGGTCTCAAAGTAGTTTTCTCCCTCTCGACAGATGTAGTACAGCTTACAGGAGCTGTCAAATGGATCTTCGTACTGTCCGGGGGTTGTACACTGGAAAGTGCCGGACGAATTGCATTTTATTGACCTGGGTACCGGCCAATTTGATGCAGAAATATTTGGGTATATCTGTAAAAGAATTTAATATGATGTTTAAGTTATAGAGTTAATGAAAAATATAGAGATTTTCTTACCAAAAAAATAAGAAAAATATAGAAGAATATAGAATTCTTCATTTCTGTAGTATTAATGTATACTTTCGTTGAGTAATATTTGGGTATTCTTTGTAATTTTCCTTAGCCTTTGCTTTTATAAGTTTTGATGGCTGGTAACCAATAAAGATTAAGGTTTTATTGTGTTTAAACATCGGTACTTTTGAAAAAACAAATCAAATTTCGAGCTGTGCAAATATTATTTGGAATTGCTGTTGATTTGTCACCTGAAAAATTATCAGGTGGTTTTATGAGAGCGTTAGCGCTTCGCGTATCTTTACGATGCCGTTTAGTGCATTTAGTTTATTTCTTTTAATTCTGATATAATGTATAGATCCGTTACTAGATTCGTAGTTTATTGGGTTATAAAAAAAAGTTTGTAAATGCTAAAAATAGATCTTTCTAGAGAAACATTTTATTGCGTTTTTCTAGAATTTTTTTAAAGTTCTGAATATTTCTATGATAAATATTCGTTTAGATGTAATCCAGTTCAGATGAGAAAATAGTTAAGTTAAAGCAAATCGATTTATTTTAAGTAGGACTAGCTAATATAAGATTTCAATTGGACCTATTCTAAGTAAAAAACTTTACTATATAAATGTATGTCCCAAACATGTTAACGTTTGAAGTACCGGTTGGTATAGTTTTCTAAAAAAAAATTCAAAATATCTCTGATGTTATTAAGGCTATCTTTATGAAATTGTACTTTTATCCACTTCGTATCCTTTATCTCAAAAGTAAAGACGTTTAGGACATATATTCATATGATTTTTATTTCTTAGAATAGAGATTCAAAATATTATAGCATGTGATTAAGGAACACCCTGTATGTATAAAAATCAATACTGATTGATTGACTTGGTAATCATTGTACTGCCGAAACCACTTGTCCTTGAATTGAGGCACAAAATTGTGCACAAAGGATCGTTAAGTAAATTTATTGAATACTAATAAAAAGCGATTTTTAGAAATTCGTCTTCTAAGGGGGTGAAAGCTTGTATGAATCTTTGTAAACGCTGTATTTAGGTTACAGTTGAGGGTTGGAACCTTTGGTGTTACACAGCAAAATAAAAACACTTAATCACCACAATACTGATAATCATCTGCTGATGATGCTAACATGGTTAGCGAAACGCGCGTCCAGTGTAAAAGTAAAAGTGTTTTGGTGTATTGTGGTGATTTAGTGTTTTTATTTTGCTGTATTTAGAAACATGAAAATTTGCAAAAAAGTTCTTTTAATTGACAGTAGTTTGTGCATCAGAATGATTTTAGAAAAATGTGTCCCATTAGGGAGTAAAATGGAAAATAAAAGTTTGTATAAAAATTTGGTATTATCTGGTATAAGATTTAGCAAGTGAAATTTAAAAGTTTATTTAGTAAGTAAAATTATTCCGTTAGGGTATAAAATGGGGAGGTAAAAAATTAGTCTGAAAAGTGAGTCTAAAAACATGAAATATTAAATTATAATTATATGAAGTACTTTAAAATTGTAATCCCTTTGGGGAATAAAGTAAGGAATGAAAAATTATAATAAAACTTCGTTATATCTGGATATAGAAACGTTAAATATTAATCTATGATATTTTTGAACAATATAGCAACTGAGAAAACCAAATTGTTTAAATAAAGACTGAATGTATCAGAAATATTCAATTACTGGTTATTATGCAACCAACAATACTGACAAAGCAGTAGAATAATTTATTAAAAGAAGACAATAAACTTATTCATATTAAAATAAAATCTCTGTATTAACCACTATATCCAGTAAAACTACCATTAATAAAAAATATGTTTTTTTTTATTAAACATATATTTAAACCAAATATAACAAATTCTCCTTAATCATAAAAATGTACAATAATTTTAACACTCTTATTTTATTCAACTATAACATTTAGAACTGCCAATCTATACTGTCTTGAGTTATTATTCCTAACTAATACTTTATTTCGGAAAATCCGTCTTCCTAAAGTATTTAATGCTGCTCCTATGACATATCCCAAGCCTTTTGATTGGCCTGAACTATAACAATAACCACCTTTTTTAACAAAGCCTAGGATATTTCTTGAACAAGAATTTTTAACGCTCTGTGCCTCAGGTAACCATAGCTTCCTCATTTCAGACTTGTATGTCTCTAATAAGGCTGTATCTGTTTTTATAATAGGCTAAAATACAAAAAAATACTCTCAATGAATGAAAACGGCGTCATGGTAGCTTTACAGAAGCGACAGTAAGCGTCGGTTTCTTTAAAGAATGTGTCTCAAATTCTTTTTTTTTGCAAGTTTTTATGTCATTTATCTGTAAATTACATATAAGGGTCAGAAATCACAGAAATTATAATTGATTATTATTTCAAAGGTTACTGTGACACCGTTTTTTTTTTCGATACTTGTGTTAATAATATAAATTATAACAAATAAATGCTATTATTCAACTTATTATCAAAATATAACTATTTAGCTGATTTTTTTCAAATTTTGTCACAATCAAGTGATCATAAGTTACAATACTAACCTTTCCTGCTTTTCTTGCTCGTTTTCTTCGTTTTATCATTCTTTTAAGCATTAATTTATGTGTTTTCCTCATTAAATTTCTTTTTTTCAAATTAGGATCTTTACATTTGGGTTCCACAGGGTCCACTTTGTAATCTTCGCTCTTTGGCAGACAAATCACAGCAAAATCCTTACATTTGCCTTTTTTTACAGGCAAAATTTCAACAGGAACCAAACAATTTTCGGGTACAATTGGTCTGGACAGTCTCTTTGACTTGTTGATAAAATACTCCTAGGTAAGTAATTATTAATTTATTATTTATAAGTAAAAAAAAATGTTTAATACATTACCTTAATATTTTTCAGTAAAATCCTGTCTCTCAGTACAAAAAAATCGTCTTTGTTACTCCAATCTTTTACTAACAAGCTCCACTGACATTTAAAAGGAGATACTATACTAAATCTTGCATAACTTGTTCTTTTATTTGGGGGTAACCTGCAGAAAATAATTAAAAAACATATAAAATAATATTACACAAAATTTTTAAGAATATACCTAGTAAGCAAAGTTCTAACAATTTTTTTTAAATTTTTATCAAAGCCAGCTCAATGTTGAAAAGGTAATATAATACAGCAAAAATCTGTATAAGATAATGTGAATTTTTGTTCACCAATTTATCCTGTTATCCTTGGTATTTAGGAAAATATAACTAAGTATTAATAAAATTAAATTCACTCAAAGTTTTAACAACTTTTCTGATATACTGTTTTTAGCAAAAGTTTTAGTAAATAGGAAATAACAAGACAACACCGCATAGTGCTGCAAATAAAAATAGTAAAATCTGAACCCAATTCTGCATTCAAAAAACTGACAACTTTAACATTACTTTTTTTGAGAACACCTTGCTTTTAAGAAAGTTTAAAATAATCTGGTAAAGTTAAAAAAACATCCTGTGGTTCATTGTTCTTTAAAAATTATTATTATTGTTACCTGCCATACAGAAATTCTATGGAACTTTGAATCAGTGATCTTGGTAATTTGCAAAGTTTGATCTGGCAACCTTGAGAATGGAGTGTTTTTACAAAGATTCTAGATTCTACTAACCTAAAATACGTATCCTTGCATTCTTCTTCTTGCAGTGCTTCTTCTAATTGACCTGCCAGTGAATCAGGAGGCAAAATATCAACCTGAGACTCCTCAAAAGCTATTGACTCTGTTTCTCTAAGTCCTCCAGCCCTACCACCCCACATATTAAAGCCTATGAAAAATATCTGTGCCCAACAAGATGGCAGTATAATATCCCAACCTGATTGCCTCCCTGATCTAGTGCCATGCCTCCATAACAGTATAACCGGTACCATTTCACCTTTAGATGGTAAATCTGAACCTGGCACCAAAAGTTCACTTCTTATCTCATTTATTTTAGCATTAGAAGTTTTATTCTCCTTCAGAAGAGCTCTAACTTCTTGGTTCCATAGAGGGCTTAAAGAGATATTTTTTTGATATGGTTCTATATCGCCCATTTGTGAGTATTCTAGTTCAGCTTTGGTGCGTTTTTTTGGGAAATTAAACCTTGGATCATGCACAATGGTTGAAAATACTAAATTAGGAGGCAAGACATTTATATTTGAAAGGTTTTCAAACAGTTTATTTTGTTCTTTTAGACTTTCAATGTTAGAGTCCTTGAACCAGATTGGTTTATCAGTTAATTCATCAAAACTTACAGTTTTTAAAGTTTTTTTTAAAACAGCTGTTGAAAGAGGGCCTGTAAGTCTAATTTTACTTAGTTCAAATTCAAGTTCTTTCAGTGTAACATTCTCTGGTCCTTCATAGAGAGGAATATTGTTTAATTGACTGTCTATGTCCATGTTTGTTAGTTTTAGTTCAAATAAACTTATTAAAATATTTAAAAGTTCACTATAAAATGCTGGATGGATGAAAATCCATAAACAACTAGAATTATTATCACAAAAACTTCTCCAAAGAAATTGTATTTGTCCCACTGGTTTTCTATAAGTTTCTTTATCATTTTCTGGCTGAAATACCAACACTGTCCCATATTTTTTACCTATAATTGAGAATTCTTTCAAATCTTGTATGTAAATATAGAAAAAATATACCTTCAGAAAAACATTTTGCCCTAAAGCTAAGTCCCATAGTAGTATCATTTAATTTTGTTAATTTTTCAGACAAATATTCATATTTTCCATTTATTTCAACAACTCTATTATAGGAAATGTCTTGTAACAAACAGTGTTGCTTCGTTGCTCTGTAACAAGCTCTGAAAGCCTTGTCACACGGCCTGTAAGGTAGTTTGTAACCCCATTTCTCGATCATTTTAAATCTAAAATGAATATATTCAGCTTATAAATATAAAGATTTATTTAAATAAATATTTTACCGCTTTGCGTGCCAAATATGCGTGTTTAACCACTTAACTCTCATCCTTCTCCGAGCATAGTCACTCAACAAGTTATACGGTCTCCTTCGATACTTCCTAGATGGTCGTTTAGACTTTGGTGGTAAACCGGACTTTTTCATTTGATTTGAGTGGATTTCTCTGAGCCTCCTTGGCAATCTCTTCACGTCGTGAGCCATGGCACGTCTTCTCATATGCTGGGGCAGCTTTTGGAATGCCATTTTCACTCCCGTAGTCTCCTTTATGGCCTTTCGCATGGTCTGAATCTCTTTTATACGAGCAGCCGTGAACGTTGACACGGGCACGTACGATGGTAATTCCATGTTAAGAACTTGAAGGGCGTCTTTACTTACTGGTTCAGTCATTTTCCGGCTTTTTTTCGTGTTAAAAAGTTATGAAAATTATCAAAAAAAGTAGGGTTAGAATTCTGAAAAGTTGGGTTACAGTATGATAATCTTCTTATTGAAATTGTAGGCATAGAGAGTAGTCATATACATATTAAAAAAAAAATATGTATATGACCGTAGTTAAGGACACAGCTATTGAAGAGAAGATCTAAAAGAATTAACCTTACTTTTTAATTTTTTTTTTTCTAGGTAATTTTAAAGAAATAGAAATGCCTATTAAATATATAGGAAAGAAATACGATTTTCGAGGTAAAACGATATGGGAGATCGTAGGAAATCTGAAAAATTTCGGAGTAGGACGTATAATTACTCGAGGTAGATTTGAACGATATCCAGAACCATCGTTTATCAAAATTCTGAAGGTGGAGACATTGCCAAAGCCTGAAAATGAATCCCTAGACGTGAGTAACTTAATTGTATTAGTTTATTTGAAATAAATCGTTCGTATTCGTTTTTAGAACTTCAGAAAAGTAAGGGTGCTTGTTGAAAAGACGTTTCGAGGTAAAAAACATCCAAAACCGATTCTAATGGAATCAACAACTTACAAACCTGATTACAAACTGATTCCAAAAGATGAAGAAGAGAATTTTTGCAAAAATATCGAGAAAACAGAGACTGCTACACGAATATTGCCCAGAACCATGGAATTCCCTCCACTAATAAAAAAACTCATTATTAAGGAACACTCAGCACTGGGTACGACTCCCAAAAAAGAAGACTTGGAACTACCTATTGCCTACAACAAAATCAGTAAAAATTTGAAATACAAGATTGCTAAAGAAGGTATGTACTATATTATTTCAACTTTATTTTGAATAAAATAAATCAAAATCAATTTTTAGGTGAAGAACCTACTGAAAAAATCAGTCTAGGCCTTGGGAAACCTTACGCTGACAGATTATATAAAGGAATAGACTTATAATTCTATTGTATATTTGATAATTTTATTATAAACAATAAATAATAATTATTTAGGTTTAAAAAAGTTCATCAGAGATGTCTGATTGCCTGAAGGAGTCTTCTTTAAATTATTTTTCTTCCCTTTTTTAGCTCCTTTCTTGGGACTAACATCATTCTCAGAATTACTGCTCTGTTTTTTCTCTAGTTTTGGCTTAGTTGATACTTCTATGGGTTTTTTAATAGGTTCACTTTCTTCTTCCGATGCTGATACATAGACATACTCAGTTTGAGTCACTGTAAAATAGAAAAAATCAAAACAAATATTGACAATTTTAATATATTTTTTACCCAAAAAGCCTTCTTCATCTTGGTATGTCCTCTCTACGGTTTTTCTTTTCTTGTTTTTAGGAGGTTTTTCGACAGGTTTCACAACTACAGGTTCTTCATCTGATTTTTCAACTAAATCTATATCAGATTTATCCGAATCAAATATATCTAAAATTGATATCATTTTCTTGACACTTTTTATGAAAAAAAGACTTTACATACCACTATCTGAATCATTTTCCACAATAATTCTTCTACGTTTCTTTTCACCTTCACCACTATTTTTGGCTCTTCTCTTTTTGGGATTATTTTTAGATACTTCTTTCTGACTACACTTTGAATTTGATTCTTTTTTATTTGGTACATTCTTTTTATTTACTGGCTGCTCCTCAATCATCTCCAAATCCTTCATAATCTCCTCCTCTGTATCTGAATCGAAAATATCAGACTTTGTTTCTGATTTTATCGGTTGTTTCTCTTCATTTTCAATCTCTTTCTTGGGTTCTTTTACTTTGTTGGGTGGTATTTTTCCAAACATGTTCATAATAGAATTCTTTTTGGGTTGACTTGAATTTGTGGTGAGCTTTTTTAGAGGTTTTTCATCTTTCTCTTCGGATTTTTTATTTTCAGTTGCTTTACCAAACATATTTGAAATAGATCCTTGTTGATTTGTCTAGAATAATGATTGTATATAAAGTTGTAAACCGTATAAAATACATGCATGTACCTTATTTTTATTGTTCTCATTGCTAGTAGTTTCTTTTTTCACTTCAACTTTTTCTTCTGACTTTATTTCCTTATTTGGTTGTTTTGCAAATATTGAACCCTTTCCTTTAATTGTCCCTGTTGGCAATGGTGCTAACAATTTCTTTTTTAACACTCTTTTTATGCAGTTTTTACCAATAACAGATCCCTTTCTAAAAGACCTAATTTGAATGTCTTTATAATTTCAAAACACAAAAAACTTACATGGGATCACTGCATAATTCAGCACTTGGTTCTGCCAAAGCCAGAACATTCCAATCCACTGATTTCGCCTTTTGTATACTGAAAACAACTTTTTGAACACCATCTTCGAACAGCTTTGCCACATCATGTAAATCTTTCTTTCGCACCAATACAACTGAGGTACCATGTTCTCCCTTCTTTGTACCAACCAACACATAAGTTACTTGGATTTGTTCCTCTTCATCATGGACTGCAATAAACTTTTCAATAATTTCTCTTGCCTCATTTTCAGGTGTGTTTGTTTCCCAAGCAAACGACGGAACTGTTACCTTAAATATTTAGTTTCTAAAGGATATTTCGTAGCTATAAAAGGGTAACTTACAATTTTATCATCGTCCTTTATCAGTTCTTCAAGTTTTTCATATGTTTCCTCCATTATGATGATATTCTGGCAGATATTTCCTAATTTTTTTTAAATAATTTATCAAAATACCGCCATTTCCAGTAGGTTTGACACTTGTCTTGTTAATTTCATCTTCTTAATTTTTTTTTGGGCCTTAACACTTAATAGGCTTCGCTGTCTATTTATAAATAGAAGAATTATTTATTACAGGCAACCAGTAAAATATCCGCATGTTTTATTAGTTGCCTATATAATTAATTGTTTTTTTATAATTTTTTTATTAATTATGTAATTATTTTGTTCCAGTATTATTCATATTTTAAATGAAAATACATTACGCATTTCTTGCAGGATGTTGTGCTGCAACAGCAGGTGCTTTTGGAAAATTAGCCGGTTTATCAGAACTGGAAGTAAGTAAAAAAAAGTGATATTAAGTAAACAAAATGTAGATACAACTCATGTTTTTTACAGAATTACCTGATACTACGTATAATATGTTTTGGGGCCATGATATTATGTAATGCAGGCGTCTGGACATTGTTTGTGAAAGCCCTACATCAATCTAACACATCTCTAGTAGCTACAGTAGTGAGTTCGTCATCAAACTATTGTTGTTCGGTAAGTAAATTGAATAATTCATATAACACAGACGAATAACACTATTTTTATGTTGTTTTAGGCCGTGCTAGGTTTTGTTTTATTCAAGGAGGTGACCTCATTGTACTGGTGGATTGGAATGTCTTTTATTATTTTTGGTTTGATTCTCACTTTATCTGAAGACGATAAAACAGACATCAAGAAGGATTGACTACGTAATATCAAGAGTAGGTTTTTTATAGTTTAAATAGTAAAGCCTTTATTTTTTTATTAATTTGTTGTAGGATTTCTTACTCAAAAGGGTCAGTTTGATAAAGATATACAAGAGAGCAGTAGAATTATGAAGCTTATGTATGGAAAAATAATCTAAAGGTAAATAGAATGAGCATAATAAAGATATACTGAATATATTTAGTATATATTCTAACATAATTGATATGTTATGGCACTGCTTATGATGCATATTTTACTCTGTCTTTTGTAAATTTATCTTAAAAGTATATTTTTATATATGTAGCTATGTTAATGTATCCAATGTTTTATTGTATTATTCTGTTTTGTTTATGATGTTGTAAAATTGTTGCAATCTAAAAAACATTCAGTTTGTATTAGGGAATATAAAAATACAAATAACATTCAATCATGACATTCAATTAATATTTTAGGGTATTTAAAGCCTGTTTAAAGTCTACTCTATTTTAACATTTTTTGATCAAATTTGGCTGATTTGTGTATAATTTTATTTATCGTTAAATTGTTACAGTTTAGGTATCATTCAGTTCGCAGTACCAAAGAATATAAAGCCTGAACTTGTTATAATTATTTTTGATCATATGAATATGATATATTTTTTTGCAGATTAAAATAACATTTGTTTCTTACTAAGACTGTAAAGTACCGTATGATCGAAAAAAAACGGCTCCAGTTGGCTGGAAAATGACGATCAATGACATTTCCCATATCCATATAGAATGACAGCGAATACAGCGATCTTCATTTCATAGCCATCGCTGACGCCGTTTTTTTTTTGATCATATTGTACCAAACAAAAAAACGGCGTCTGAGTTGGCTTGGAAATGACGATCGATAACGATAATCAATTGTTATTTCTAAGGTAACTTGCCGCATTTTTTCGATCACACGGTACTATACACACATTTCTACTCTGTTATCATTTTTTGATCATATAATACTTTCGCTGTATTGTATATAAGGTATGTGAAAAAAAAATCGGCGTCAAATTACCTCGGAAATGACCATGGATAAGATTCAACATAATTATACAAAATATCATCGATCGTAATTTCTAAGGTAACTTGACGCCTTTTTTTAGATCGTATATACCATATACACTCAATATGTAATGGCATCTTAAGTCTGCTGCTCTGTTATAATACCGTATGATCGAAAAAAAAACGGCGTCAGCGATGGCTATGAAATGAACATCGCTGTCATTTTATATGTAAAATTATATATTATGGAATGTCATCGATCGTCATTTCCAAGCCAACTGGAGGCCCTTTTTTTTCGATCATACGGTATTTTTTGATCATATAATTATATAATACCACAGAATACTTGCGCTGCTTTTTATATAACTTATGTCAAAAAAAAATCGGTGTCAAGAAACCTCGGAAATGATGTCATATAAGATGTGATCGACCGTCATTTCTAAGGTTACTTGATGCCGATTTTTAGATCATATTCACAATACTTCGAAAAAAAATGCGTCAAGTTGTCTTGGAAAGTGTGTTTCATAACATCCACCATGTAATTTTACAAATATAATGTCAGCGATCGTCATTTCTAAGGTAACTTGACGTCGCTTTTTTTCAGTCATACAGTACTATGCAGTCTGTATGTATTATCAATTTAAGTCTACTTTGTAATATTATGTTTAAATGATATATAATATTTAATACTTATTCTGCTTTGGTATATAATGTGTGATCTAAAAAAAAACGGGCGTTAAGTTACCTTGAAAATGACGATCGATAATATCTATAACATAGAATTTTACAATTACTTGATGCTTTTTTTTCGGTACTATAATGCAATTTGTATGAACATTTAAAGCCTGTTCTATTATAATATTTTTTGATCATATAGTACAATATGATCGAAAAAAAAACGGCGTCAGCGATGGCTATGAAATGAAGATCGCTGTCATTTTCTTTGTAAAATTATATGGGAAATGTCATCGATCGGCATTTTCAAGCCAACTGAACGCCGTTTTTTTTCGATCATACGGTACTTATGCTGCTTTGTTGACATGATCGATAACATCTAGCATATAATTTTCATATACTAAGATATCATCAGTCAGGATTTCTAAGGTAACTTGACGCCGTTTTTTCTTTATCATACGGTAGTAATCACTCCGTATGTAAAGAAGTAACAGACATTTTTTGATTATATTTTTGCTACTTTATACCGTGTGATCGAAAAAAAAACGGCGTCAGGTTACCTAGGAATTAACGATTAATAAAATTTACCAGATAAATTTTGTCCAGTCAACTAATGAAATTATTTTTTTTTGTTTCAGATTCAGCATCATTCCAAAGGCTAAACAGGTCATGGTTCCTTCCACCATCGGCTTACGTTTTTTTTAATTATTTATATGAATTTATATTGTGTGTTGAATTTATATTATGCATTTATGGTGGTATATTTATTAGTTTTTAATAAATGAAATATTTTGATTAAAACTTGTTTTATTTTTAAAACTGGCATAAACTAAACAGATAGAAATCCAGAATTTAATTTAAGAGAAAAAGTATTCATTTGACTCAAAAGAATATTTATTTACCTCTTCGCTCTTATGTACTCCTGATACAAGTCCCTGATATTTCAACTTTTTGCAAAGACTTTTTGAAAAAATTGAACGAAAAATTTTAAGTCTACCTCCTTGCTCTTATGTGCTCCTGATACAAATCCGAGAAAATTCAACTTTTGACCAAAATCGCACAAAAATATTTAAAACTCGTCCAAAATCGACGATTTCTATCAGGATCGCATAAGTTTGAAGAGATAAGGAGCAAATTTAGTACCACACATAAATAAAGCATTTTTCAACGATATTTCTGCTATCTCTAGCACTTCGAACTCGTTTCCAAACTTCAACCCTTAATATCTCGGAAACTATAAGGGCTAGAGAGGAACGGAGGGCGGCTTTCGATAGGCAATTCAACCCTCTATAAGGGCGCAAAACGAGGGCGCGATCGGAAACAAAAAAAAAGTTTGGCGAAAAATGAGGTAAGGGGTTAACCTTCCTTCATTTTTGCCCAAAAGTTTTTTTTGTCTCCGATCGCGCCCTAATTATGCACCCTTATAGAGGGTTGAAAGGCGAATCGAATGCCGCCCTCCGTTCCTTTCTAGCCCTTATAGTTTAGAAGTTATGGCCGTTTTTCGAAAAAAACTAACTCATTCTAACTCGTTGGTCGGGTCGTCCAATTTTTGCCAGGTCGAAATTATTTTTGGTCGGTTTTGTCAAAAGCGGAGAAAAATTGAATTTGTATCAGGAACATATGAGTGCGAGGAGGTATTTTTCGGTACCAGGAGTAAGAGGTGCATTCGCCATTTAGTCAAGATATTTAAATAATGTTAGATAGAGAATTAAATTCTTAAATTTGTACCAGGAGCACATAAAAGCTAGGAGGTATTTTTCGCTACCAGGAGCAGGCAGTTACATGCGCCATTTATTCAAAAGTTTTCTAAAGTATATTGAGTTATTATTAATTAGTTTATAATGAAATTTTTGGAATAAATAGAAGGTAGATGAAATAAATTATACACAGTGTTAAAAATAAATAGTCCTTTATTATTTCACAATATTATTAGTCTTAAATTATATTAAATATTTTATCACATAGAAACACAATAACTAGGTATTATATATTGTGCTGAGATTCTGGCTGTAGACGCTGTCTATTCTATCGAAGTAGACTGATCTGTCGTGTAGCTCCTGTACAAGCCTGAAGTTGTGTGTGAGCTGTCCTTCTTCGCTGCAGAGTAACCAGAAGTTCTGTATCTGTAACAAAAAAAAAGAAATTAGATATTTTAAAACACGAAAACATTTTTTTTTCTAGATTTTATAATCAAAACGTGAACTTTCGGGACTATATACCGGATGTTTCAAATTCAAATATCGCTATTTGGATCTGGAAAATGGCAAGAAATGGTACAGGGTGGCTCAAATAATTAGAAAAAATCTACAAACACATTTTCAAAGAAACTCTTTTTAGCTTTATCCTTTGGAGACGTCAGAAGTCACTTAAAACGTTTCATTTTTTTTGGAACCATCATCAACTTTATTTTTTTTAATACGGACCTGGAATTTTTATTTTATTTTTTCGAAACTTAATGACCTCTCACACTTGCCGAAGAAATGTACCATACGATCGAAAAAAAGGCGTCAGAGATGGCTTCGAAATAAAGATCGCTGTCATTTTATATTATGTGAAATTTTACGGGGAATGTCATCGATCGTCGTTTCCAATCCAACTAGCCGCCCTTTTTTTGCTAACTGGTAGTAAGCGCCATTAAAAAATAAAAATAAGTATGGGCCAAGTAAACGACGTCTAGAGCTTTTCCTCGCCAAAATTATCATCGATTGTCATTTCCCAGCCCATTTGACGTCGTTTTTTTTCCGATCAACTTAATACAATAAAAATACGCTTTTTCGTAACTAGTATATACAGAGTGAGTCATAATTATATGGCGAATTTCTCTTTACTATTTTAAATTGAACAGTCTGTGTCTTGTTGGTTACAAGCATAATATACAGGATAGAAACTGTGTTGTAGTTATTATAATTAAAGTACCGTATGATCGAATAAAAACGGCGTCCGCGATGGCTATGAAATGAAGATCGCTGTCATTTTATATGTAAATTTATATAGGAAATGCCATCGATCGTCATTTCCAAGCCAACTGGACGCCGTTTTTATTCGATCATACGGTATTTAATGTGTGTTGTTGTAATTATAATACAAAATACAGAGTGTTGCATTTAAAATATTGACGAAAAAATATATTTTTGACACACCTTGTATATACCATGCAGTCTAGCGTAATTTACTGTAAATAATTTTATGAAAGAGACATGTAATTTAGTGTAACCTGTAAACTGGTAGCAAGCGCCATTAAAAAATAAAAAAAAGTATGGGCCAAGTAAACGACACGACGTCTAGAGCTTGTCCTCGGCAAAATTATCAGCGATTGCCATTCCCAGCCCATTTGACGTCGTTTAAATATATGCTCACTCTGTATATACTAGAGATAAAAAGCGTATTTTATTGTATTAAGCTGATATTAAAAAAACGACGTCATAGTTGACTTAGAGATGACAACTATAATAACATTTTATAATTCTTCTAAACATATTTATCAAAAAACACCTACTGTTCAAGTTTTTATGTCATAGATTATATTATTAAAATTTCATTAATAGAAATTATCAAACATTTTGAATATTGTATTTAATTAATTTTTGGGCCTTATTTTTTTTAAAACAAAAATAAATATTCTTCTTTTTTTAACATTACCAGAATAGTACAACAATTTATAAACAAATTTACCCATATAATTCTCTCTATGTTCTTAGAAATCTTCTCTAATACATCTTCTCTGGTAAGAAATTCTGCAGTCGGCAACATATTTGTGTAATTCTGATGACCAGTTTATTCAAGACAATCCAAAGAAGTATGATGCAAAGTAAAGTACGAATTTCGATGAAGGTTACTCATACTGCCTAAAAAATCATAATAAAACTATAGTTAATTTTATAGAAAACTAATAGTAGTTCAAAAACACATAAAAATTATTAGCAAATATATTAAATACAGTACTCTGACAAAAAAGAAATTGATACAGTGCTACTAGTTTCAATAAATAGATCGATAAAAATAGGTATTATAGTCAAAGGATTTCATACTACACCAAGTATAATATACATATATGTATGTATATTCTATATTGGCCCTATACATAACACTTACAATGTAACTAGAAATAAACTTATGCAAGAGAAACAATTATATCACATTAACTAACCTTTAGTTGCATTAATCATGGATTCCTTTAAATCGGCACTGCTATAACTCTATTTAATGCAAATTTCAAGCCATTTGCACCAACTTATAAGGCTTTGACTCTGGCATTGAACACAAATTCCAGCTATCCATACCCAAAGAAGATGTTGATAATAAAATATCTTCAATTAATGGGTCATACTTCAAGATATGGATACCAATGTTTCCTTAAAAATACAACAGTATATTATATAAAACATAAAACTAGTGCTATATTGTAAAATATTCTTTTAAAAATCATTTAACATGAACAGGTAACATGACTCACTTAAATGTTTAGTACCATTATTGCTCAACACCTTGTAAAAGACTTGGAATCGCTTGCCATCCATTCAATTCTGATATCACTGCCTTTGTCCTTCGTTGGAGAGCTTTATTCTCAAATTCTTCCATTAAAATCAAAGTAAAACTGAAAATAATTACTAATATAAATATATATTACGCTCTGACTGGTAAAATATGTATTGTAAAGACACATTAGATAGAATAAAAAACGTATAATACCTGTGTTATATAACTAAGTTAATTTATTGTTATACATTTCTCTGAATCTATATTCCGCAAAATATCAACGTTCGGTTTAAATTTTATGAGGCTAACAAAAGATATTAATTAATTTAATATAAAAAGTAAAAAGGTAAATAAATAAAAAACAAGTAGGTTAAAAAAACAAATGAACGTCAAAAAAATTGCGTTCAGCGACCTCTACAATTTTTTCGTGGGGAATTTTGGAACTAATTTATTAACACAGCTTGTGGCGCCATCTATTTGGTAAAAGCTTTAACAAAAATTTATTACAAACGTGTGGCGCCATCTATATATTAAGAACCCTAATACAATCTTTAAAACTACTGGCGCCATCTATGAAGTGGTAGTTGGATTATATAACTAAAGACTAGTGGTGCCATCTGTGTGTAAATATCTGTACTCTATACCGACCGTGGCGACATCTGCTGTAAAATTACTGAACTATATTTAAAATTCGACTGTATTGCCATCTACCGGGTAAACTATAAAACAAAAACTTTACGCCCCCAATTACCATTATTCAAATATTTTAAAATATCGAATAAAGTATAAGAATCTAGTTTTTAGACTAGAACCTCAGAATTTCGATCAAATATCTGTTGGAAAAACTGTTAAAGTACTAGGACATCTTAGAGAATTTATGTTATAATTAGAATAATTATATTGCAATATAAACCTCTGTTTAGTGATTTAAGATCATTACAAAAAATATTTTTATATATCTTTGTTCCTTATTAATGTATTATTTGATATTAGATAATAAATAATTGAGAAAAATTGATTAGAACAAATCAGTTTAATTATTTTGTCAGGTTGTTTTTATTTCTAATTTAAGACATGAAGGTTGAAAGTAATTATTTACTTTGATCAAGGGGGAAGAATAATCAATCTTTTTTTGAAAATGAAAGAAACAAAAAGATAAAAGCCATTTAAAGATATGGAAGTATTTTTAGAAAAACAGTGGAATAACACTCTCAAAGTGGAAATTTTTGATTTATTTAATATATTTATAGTAGTTCCAGGAAAAAATTATCTTAAATATAATTCTGTGTGTGGAGATTAATATTTTTTAACTCATTTTAATATGACCAATGATTCAATAAAATTTCTACACCCTGTGTCTCCGAAACAAAGCCATCTACAGAGATAAATTTATACGAACTTTTTCTACTTATTTTTATACAGGGTGTTTCAAAAAACATGTACCATCTGTCGTGGAGAGATTCCTCACGTAAAAATAAGATTTATTTTATTTTATATCAACATAGATCCGATTCTGCTTTGTTTCGAAGCTACAGGGTGTTTAAGTCTTAAAAATCTTTCGATTTATTACAATTTTCTTCCAAGTATTTTTAATGATTCGAATGAAATTTTCAGGGTAAAAGATACTATTATATTATTAAAATTGTATGTCCATATTTACAACAAACAAATTGATTAATTTCTTAGTTTTTTTTTTCCTGAATTTAAACAACGCAAATATACTTTTATATTAAGTATAAACGTAATAAAGAAATTAACTGATATTTTTCGGGAAATATCCTAAGCCTATTGGTACTTTTTTTAACTACTTTAATCTCTCCTTTAGTCTTTTAATTTAAACAAGTGGCCCCAATAAATCATTTCAGACGATTACCCTTTGAAATTAATGACTGCTAGATTAAACAACTTTTTTTAAATTGTTTAAACATAATATATGCCTTAGATTAGATAATGATAATAACAATATTCTACGGCTCTAAGGTCTTAATGTTTGAAATTGAAATTGTTAAACTTTTTATTTTTAAACGAGATATTTAATTTAAACAAACTTTGATAGAAAGACAAGATAATGGATGGAGTTTGTGGGTTTTAAAAAATATTTATTTTATTAGATAATGATAATAACAATATTCTACGGCTCTAAGGTCTTAATTTTTGAAATTGAAATTGTTAAACTTTTTATTTTTAAACGAGATATTTAATTTAAACAAACTTTGATAGAAAGACAAGATAATGGATGGAGTTTGTGGGTTTTAAAAAATATTTATTTTTAATATCGATATTTCTATGTATCGATAGTTTCGGATGTCCCTAGATTTTGGTCTGATTTCCAACATGTAAGTGAAAATTTAGGTTTTTCCGCTCATTTTTTCGTACTGGTGACCTGCGAGGCCCTTATTTTAAACGTTTTTATTACGTTCCAAGTAAAATAGAATTGAAATTGTGGAAGAATCTATTTGAAAGCATATACAGGGTGTTCAAAAAGCATGCGCCATATCTCGTGGGGAGATTCCTCAAATAAAAATAAAATTTATTTTTTATAGTAAATATAGTTTCATAGCTACAGGGTGTTAAAATCTTCATTTTTTTCGATTTTTATCATTTACTTAAAAGTACTTTTAGCGACTCAAATGAAATTTTGAGGGCAAAAGTTAGTAGAAGTGTTACATCTTTTAGTACTAAAAAAGTGTCGACAGATTCACCAGGGACGTGCATATGGGTTATCACTGGAATATTTTTCTAAAAAAAAACAAGTACACCACTGACTTCATTCTTTTGTTACCAAACTTCTGTAAAAGTAAAGTAAAGTAAAGATTTCAGTTAACGTGTCCTTTTTGCTGCAAGGGCTAATCTGGAGGGGGCCTACTTTTTTTACGCGGAATCCAAACCACGGTCCTCGGCCATATCATGGTCAATGGCCTACCGACTTGGCAATAAGTGTCTAAATTGACTGTTACTCACGAGATATCCGATCTCATCTGGCCTCGAACCGGCGCGAATGAGCAGTGTGTGTCAATAGATTTTACACTTTTGTCTGTTTTTGGACCGGAACCGGTCACCCGTCCATCCACTAGTATCGCCTTGCGTCGCTTAACTTCGGTGTTCTAATGGGAACCGGTGTTTCGACGTAGTTGGGCCGTTGTTGGCTGTTGGCTCCCAAACTTCTGTAGGCCGATTAACAGCTCTATTTTGATATTTTGTCGATTTCGATCTCCTTGATGAGATAAACGCATTTTTTTTTAAATGACAGTTAATAAAATTAAAATAAAAATAGAATTAAGAATTTATTTTATTAAAATGTATACTGATGTCCGGTGCTAACTACAGCAAATTCAAGAAAAAAATTATGGTATTTCAGATAATAATTATAAGACCTATTTTTATAAAGTTTTAACATCCTGTACCTTAAAAGTGTGCATTTCTGCATCCATGTTTATAGGAACTATTTTTTATACTTTTTTGTGAGGAACCAATGAGTACTTTTTTTACTTTAACACTTTGGCAAGTTAATGACATTATTTTTTTTTAAATGTTGCTATTAGTATTGGATTAAGGCAAATTAATAAAATTTGTTTATCTCATCAAGGAGCCTCAAACAAAATATCAAGAGACATTTTTTAATCGGCATTAAACGGAACACCCAACTGTGTTAACAAGAGAGAAAAGTCAGTGGCGCACAGGTGGCGCACACCGTTTTTTTTTAGAAAAGAATCCACTGATAACGCATAAGCATGTCCCTGGTGAATCTGTTGACACTTTTTTAGCATTAAAACATGTAGCACTAATAGTAATTTTTACCCTCAAAATTTCATTCGAATCGCTAAAAGCACTTGGAAGAAAATTATAATAAATTTTGATCCCCTCTAACTACAAAAAAAGCAGGAATTATTTTTACTTGATGAATCTCCCCACGAGAGATGGCACCTGTTTTTGAAACACCCTGTATAAAATTAGCTGTATATAAGAATAAAAACGTCGTTTTTTTTGGGAGCATACGTGATTCCTTGAAAACAGCTGATATACCTTCCAAATAGTCGTTCTAATGTCGAAAATCTGCTGATCGAAAGTCAGTAAACAACGGCTATTAAGTAATAGTAAGGCAAGGCAACAATATACACGATGTCCTTTAAAGTGAATGTTGTTGTGTTGTATGTTTTTTTTTCTTCCAAACGCCCTGAATCACTAAATCGAGTTAACTTATGTATTTAATAAACAGCTATTAGATAGGCAAAGGTAATAATTAAATTGAAACACGTACGGTGTGTTTTATAGGTTTAATAATTACTAGAAATAGTTATCGGTGTCTCCAAGATAAAATATGCGTTTGAATGGCGCTGTCTTTTTGTGATTGTTCGTTGGGCTAGACGCCAGATCAAATATTGTAATCGAATATTAAAATACAGGGTGTTTCAGAAAACATGTGCCCTCTCTCTTGGGGAGATTCCTCATGTACAAATTTATTTCTTATACCAACATAAATCCGATTCTGCTTTGTTTCGTAGTTACATAAGGTTAAATCTTCTTTTTTTTTAAATGTTTTTAGCGATTCTAATTAAATCTTGAGGGTATAAAAGTTACTATAAGTGTGACAATATTTTAATGCTAGAAAAGTGTCAACAGATTCACCAGGTACGTGCATTAGTGATATACAGCTACTTTTACAGAAGCTTTCCACTAGATTGCTACACGTTTTCAATCCTATTTCGTTCTGAACGTAGTGAAAACGTTTAAAATAAGGGCTTCGCACGTCAGCAGCACGGAAAAATAAACGAGAAAACCTAAATTTTCACTTGCATACGCTGGAAATCAGACTAGAACCTGGAAACGTACACAAATATCGATAGTTTTTTGAAAAAAAAAAAAAATATATCGATACATATCGCCGTTTTTTGAAATAATTTTGCTATAAACCAATACCTTCTTAAATGCAGAGGCCCTCATTCTTCTACGTAACGTCATAAGAGTAGGGTATAAATATACAAACCGTTTAATTATTTTGTAGCTATTAAAAGTAAACGTTCTTATATAAAAATCTCCCCTCTCTTGGGGAGATTCCTTATGTACAGATTTATTTCTTATACCAACATAAATCCGATTCTGCTTTGTTTCGTAGTTACATAAGGTTAAATCTTCTTTTTTTTAATGTTTTTAGCGATTCTAATTAAATCTTGAGGGTATAAAAGTTACTATAAGTGTGACAATATTTTAATGCTAGAAAAGTGTCAACAGATTCACCAGGGACGTGCATTTCTCTAAAAAAATCATGTAAGCCACTGACCGTTTTTTCTCTTGTTAGTAAAATCGTGTAGACTGTTTAATGCCGATTAAAAGTTGGCTCTTGGTATTTTGTCAATTTCGGCCTTTTTCATGAGATAAATGCAATTTTATTAAATTGCCTTTATTCAAGTCTAATACCAACCTTTAAAATATTCTAATGTCATTAACTGACCAAAGTGTTAAATAAGTACTAATTGATTCGTCATCAAAAAATATTAAATTTTTTTTCAATAAACATGCTGGGTGCGGAAATGCATAATTTTAAATTTACAGGATGTTAAAACTTTTTGGATTTTCTGTAGGTAGCACTATCAGTGATATAAATTTTTTATTAATAATAAATAAATAATTTATTAATTTTATTTTTAATTTCATTTTATTAATTGTGATTAATAAAATTGTGTTTATCTCATCAAGGAGATCGAAATTTTAATCGGCATTAAAGAGCCTACACAATTTTGCTAACAAGAGATAAAAAAGTCAGTGGCGCACATGTTTTCTTAAGAAAAATATTGCAGTGATAAACCATATGCACGTCCCTGGTGAATATGTCGACACCTTTTTAGCGTTAAAATATGTCGCACTAATCGTAACGTTTACCCCCAAATTTTCATTCAAATCACTAAAACCGTTTGGAAGAAAATTATAATAAATCGAAAAATAACGAAGAATTTGACCAACTGTAGCTACGAAACAAAACAGAATTGGACTTTTGTTGGTATAAAAATAAATCTTATTTTTATATATATATATATATATATATATATATATATATATATATATATATATATATATATATATATATATATATATATATATATATATATATATATATATATATAATCAAAAACCTTTCTACCTGAAGGTGCAATTTATACAAAATTAAATAAATTCACTTCATTGCTACACTATATAGAAATTGTTTCATTTATTTTTGTCTCTTGCTAAACTTTTGGCTTCTGTTAATTTTAGTCCTCTATCCTGCACTATCTTCTCTATTGTCCATGTTTTAGTTGGTCTTCCCCTTGGTCTCTTTCCCTGCATTTTAGCTTCCCACACGCCTTTTACTGGTATGTCGTTGTTCATTCTGATCAAATATGTCCATACCACCTAAGCTGACATTGCTCAATTTTATTCAGGATCGAATCTACTTTTAGTTCCCCTCTTATAAAGCTGTTCCTTAGTCTATCTTTCCTTGTTACCCCAAGTACTCTTCGTAGATAGATCTTACTCTTCAATCTTTTTAGTTAATACCCAACTTTCACAGCCAAAAATCAACGTCGGTATGAATACTGTCTTGTATACACTCATCTTCACTGCTCTCGAGATTTCTTTTTTATTTAAGAAACTGTTCTTAATGGCTTGATACAAGCGGGACGTGTTGCCAATTCTTTCGATTATTTCCATTTCTTGTTCTCCTGTGCTACTGATGTTCACTCCCAAATATTTGTATGAATAGACTTGTTCCAAATTGATGTCATTTATCTCTATATTCATGAATATAGAATCTTATTTTTACGTGTGAGAAATCTCCCCACGAGAGACGACACATGTTTTTTAAAACACCCTGTATAGTAGCTAGGATTCTTTCAGACCATGTTTTGCAGCTAAATTACTATTGTTCAGTGTATTTTTCAGTTTTAAATCACTCTTCAAAACATTGTTAAATCTACCGGATATACAGCTACTTTTACAGAAGCTTTCCACTAGATTGCTACACGTTTTCAATCCTATTTCGTTCTGAACGTAGTGAAAACGTTTAAAATAAGGGCTTCGCACGTCAGCAGCACGGAAAAATAAACGAGAAAACCTAAATTTTCACTTACATACACTGGAAATCAGACTAGAACCTGGAAACGTACACAAATATCGATAGTTTTTTGAAAAAAAAAATATATATCGATACATAACGCCACTTCTTTAAAAAAAAATTTGCTATAAACCAATACCTTCTTAAATGCAGAGGCTCTCCCTCTTCTACGTGACGTCATAGGAGTAGGGTATAAATATACAAACCGTTTAATTATTTTGTAGCTATTAAAAATAAACGTTCTTATAAAAAAAATTAATAATTTCAGAATAAAATTTTAAGAAAATAATGTTAAATATAATTCTGTTTTATATTATAAATATAGAATATAGGTTTTCGTCAAGCGTATATGTGCTATTTAACACACAGGCCTTGTAACAAACATAGATAAACAAAATTGTTACAGATATTAAGATGCCAAGTGCATTATAAATCAAATAACTGACCGAGGTTAATAACAAACACTGCTGTGCATGAGGACGCGTTTTGTCTATTTATCTACTTGCCTAATTTATCTGAGAAGTTATTTTGAATGGATTTAGTGCTTTGGTTTGTTAATATCATTAACATTTTTATGTTAATGATTTATTTTTGGATAAATTTTGAACAAGGTTTTAATTTTTGCGTATATGATTCAGGCTTTTCTGAGTTTGTTTTATGTTTTTTTTTATTATCTTCTGTTGCAAATATGCCTGTCGCCTAATTTTATGTAAAGTGTACAAATTTGGAAAGACATTGTGTCAGGGGGATCCACTATCTCCAGTACTGTTTAGTGTAGTATTAGAAAAAGTTATAAAAGATGTGGGAATCAACAGAGAGGGCCTTCTGAATAAAAAAAGACACTAATGCTTAGCCTTTGCAGATGATTTAGTTATCTTAGCAAGAGATCGGAAAGAGCTGATATCGGTGACCAAAAGACTAAAAAAAAATATAAAAATATGATGATAAAACGTGAAATAGGCGGAAATAGAACCAGATGGAAAAAGGATGTTGAAGAGGACTTAATTGAGAAGGATAACAGTCGATGGGTGGAGAATAAAGGCGAAAGACAGAAACAAATGGAAAATGATAACCAGTCAAGCCATGAGCCTTTGAGGCTTTTAGAGCTATTATATATATAATTGTGTCACGACTTAAATTAGAGCGAGATTATAGTAAGTCTAAGAAAAAGGATCGACAAATATATTAAAACAATTCTTTAATAATATACAAAGGAGGTCATAGAGAGTGAATCGCGCCTAGCCGTACCGAAGCAGTACCAACCGCTCTTCTGGGTCGTCGCTTCTGTTGAGTGCATATCCGCTTACGTCACCAGCGGAGCCCGATAGGTGTCTTGGCTGCGTTTCGACGTTCGTACGTCGTCATCATCGGTGGTTCTGGTGTTTGGCCGCGCGCTATTCAGGCCGACCGACGGCCTTGCCGGGTAAAAGTAAAACGGATTACGGCACTCGTGGGGCCGTTCCCACGAGCAGGGGGAGGGCCCCCTTCGCTAAGGAGACCCCCCTCCCCGCGCCTGCCACCAGCGGGAAAAGCAACAGGAATTTGAAAGTACTGCTCGGTACTGTGTGGCTTAGTTAACTAACGCACGGTAAATTCTAGCTTTATAGGTACTTTAAGGTATCATCGACTCTAAAATAATCGATATATACCTATTAAAAAATAATACAGTGTGGTCCAAATGCAACATATGAGATTTTTTTTATTACTGTCTTACTTTTAGTACTGTCAAAAGTTAGTGTATGTCCGATAATCATATCGGCAGTACTTAGAATGACTCTATGAAATCACACAACCGAAAATCATTCAAGAATACAGTACCTTTGTTTGAAAGAATTTTGAAAAATTTGGTATTAAGGAAAGTTGTGTAGAAATAAAGCCTAAGAAATAAACCTAAATACAAAGTTACAGACTCTTATGCGGAAAATTACAATTTATCAGAAAATTTTGGAGCCTCCTTGTTTTGAAATTAATTAAAATCATACAATGGTTGCTTATTTTGCCACGGACTGAGCTAGGCCCTTATAATCTACAGAGATTACATATAGTACCTTTTATATGTAATCATAGTACCTTTTCATATATATGAAAAATAGTCATATCAGGTACTTTTTCCTGAAAATTAAAAAAATAACTGAAAATTCTCCAAAAAATATTTAAAAAAATGTAAAATCTTCAACATTTTTTTGCAAAAAAAGATAGGCATGTTTCCAGGTTAGAAATAGTTGCACTTATGTAAATGACACCCTGTATAAGGTTGTAAAAAACTATTTTAATAACTTATTTATATAATATATGTATTATTTAACTATTCTTGGAAATTATTTCAAAGTATGTGTTCTAAAAGAAATAATTAAATTAGGTTTATAAAAGGTTACGTTAAAATAAAAATTTGTATTTCTTTAAATGAAAGATGTGATACTTCCGTTTCCTGCAAAGTCGATACTGTCAATTATTCTTCTTTAGAGAACTTTAAAAACACTAAAAATAATAGAATATAACTTCACTTACCTTAATACAAAATTGATTCCTGAATCTAAATCTCCTAACAAAGCTTTTTATGAAGATGATACCATAAAAAATGCTGAACAATTTTTATTGAGACTTCGGAATGCAAATTTTTTAACACACCAAATCATGGTAACTAATGATAAACGATGTGTATGTTACTTTAAAATGGATATCAAAAAAAGATGTGGCAATTATGCGTTCTTTTCCTGAATAATGAGATAAATAAAATGTAATAGATTTAATAATATGATTGAAGATATAGTTTTACCTATTATAACTTTAGTTATAGAACATTCCAAATTCCAAACTAACAAAACAAATCTTCATGATTCGTTAAGAGATGAGATATTTTTCTATATATTCAACCATCTGTAAAAACATTTCAGGATACTTTGAAACAATGTTTACAAATACAATATGGTCGAAAAAAAAACGGCGTCAGCGATGGCTATGAAATGAAGATCGCTGTCATTTTATATATGAAATTATATGGAAAATGTCATCGATGTTCATTTCCAAGCCAACTGGACGCCGTTTTTTTTTTCGATCATATGGTAGAATTTACTGACCAAACCACAAAGATTAAAAATAAAAATATTTTATCAAATACCTAAACTATAAAATATTTTAATTCTTAATAGAAGTAATATTTAGCCAATAAATTGTTATAATACAGGATGAGTCTTAAATAAGTGCAAATATTTTCAGGGCTAGTACGTCTCGAAAAAAACATAATTTCTTTTTAACGTTTTTAAAATAACTCCAAAATAACCGAGTTTTTACTTTGAAAATTAAAAAAAAAGTTTTTTTGCTTAAATTTTGAGAACCACTGGATTCTTCCTGGGTTTTCTTTCTTGTAAATTTAATCCACTATCTATGTTGTATATTATCAAGAAATTTTGTTTTTTAAGTGAAAATTAAAAAAAAATCCAGTATTTTTTAAAAAAATTTCGCGAAAAAAACCTCATAGACTTGTTTCTGGTGTCGAAATATGCTACTCCTAAAAATATTTGCACTTACTTAAGACTCACCCTGTATATAAAACGTATTTCAAAATGTCTGGAATATATACAGTATCTCCCATTTTTTTTCCGAAAAACTATAAAAATCATTAGAACTTTGTAAGATAATTATAAAGTCAAAATACACAATAATATTAAAATATGAGACTTTAAAAATAGTCTTATTTTCAAATGTCATCAAAACTACTTCAGTTATTTTTAGCACAAAATAGTTCAAGTAGTCTCAGCGATATTCAAGATAATAATCTTTTATTTACGTACTTTCAAATCTAATCATATTTGTGACCAATATGTACATAAACTTGTTTTTATAACTTCTGTCTAAAAAAATTCTACAAGTTCTCAAAGTTTATCTATAAAAAAATGAGACATCCTGTATAAACATACGGATTCTGTGGTGTGAGATTAATGATTATAAAATGATAGGAGCTTATTAAAGGTCAATAAAACGCTTAGATATCTAGCGTTTTCCACAGTTTTATTTATTTTTATGTAGACTTTACAATGTTTACCGTAACTAGGATACTGAGGACGAGTGCCAGGTGACGATAAAAATATACAGGTCAGCACTCGGGTCCCCCTTAGTTAATTATTTATTTCATTATATATCTCGATGAAAATATAGAATCCGTATCTGATACAATAACGATAGTAGTTTCTTTCTGGGCTAAAATCACCGAAATTTTGATACAGTTTTTTTGATACGTATTTCCATATAACTTGTTATTGATTTCAAACTATATTTTATTTAACGTCGAACAAACTAGATGCCATACAAAAAAAAATTAACTCGAAATATACCGAAATACAAAAGTAGGTTACAAAAAGAATTATTAATTATATTTAATATTTCATAAATGCTCTCTATTTTTTGTTGATCTATATAAATCCTAGTTAAAACCTTTTTTTTTGCTCACCATAATTTGGGACAATGTTGCCAGGTTTTGTTTTTTTCCCTAAATTTAGGTAAAAAATTAAATATAGAAAATTTCAATTATCTATCACAATCCGCTGTTTTAAGCTATTGTAGTGTTTTTTATTTCGAAATTTTCTAGAATAATGCCAGATTTTGAGGTTTGTTCCTAAATCTAGGCAAATCAAATTATATTTAGAAAATGTTACAAATAATTAGATTATTAATTCTTTTAATAACAGAGTTGAATTGATTTAAATGTTTTCTTCGAATTCATATTTTTTTATTCAAAACCTAATAATTTTTAAATTAGACAGTAAAAAAGAAATTGAAACTGTCAAACTATGCTGCTCTCCTATGTTCACTTTTAATATGGAAGAGTCAACATATTCAAATATTCTCAAGTGTATTATTTTGATAAATCTAAAAAGGGACACATTGAACATAGGATTTTTTAAACTTATAATCCTATGTTCACAATTAAAACAAACACTTTAAATATAATCCGTTTAAAAATATGTTTAACAAATTTATGAAGATATATAAAATAGTGAACATAGGTTTGATAATATTATTACCAATCCTATGTTCACAATTATCACACTCTAAATAAAAATACATCCAACAAAACCTTTTTTCAAAAAATCGGTGATTCCGCCTAAGAACGAAAACCTCTAATAATAGTAATAAGAATGATGATAATAATCATAATTAATATAATAATTAATTAATAATAATAATAATAGAGCTAGAGTCCTTAACCTTAAGCCTACAGAACGGCAAATCCTTAGGGATCCCCTTCCGTACACACTTTACCTCCCCTCTGTTGGATTGTCGTGGTCATAATCGTGGCATGCGAGGGGCAAAACTAGGGGATCCCCGGCAGAATTGAGCGACAACAAACGAAGATAAGATCTCTCCTAATCTCAAAATATGGGACACACAACCGAACGATCAAGAAAACGATTCGTGTTTCACAGCCACGCCGGCGTGCGGCGTAAGGGTGTTCGCTATTTCGGACCTCCCAGAAGACATAACCTAACAGGGATACCACTAAGACGTAAGATTGGAAAAATAGCTGTGCTGTCAACATGTCGAAGATAATTTCTTTTCGTTTTTTTTCGTTAAAATACGGTTATTTTTCAATCTATTTTTCGTATTTTGTAAGCAGAACATAGGATTCTTACACAACACCCCTGTATCTCCTATGTTCCCTTAAATAAATAAATCATTCATAAGAGTAAATAGTTGAACTTACACTGTTCGAGAAAATACAAAAGTTTCATTAAAAGAAATTAACAGCGAACATAGATTTGAATGATATTATTGTGTCTACTATGTTCTCTTGGCTCAAGATTGAAAAGTAAAACATTTATTAGAACATTTAGAACTGTAAAGATAGGCTTATCCTACAGAAAATACTATTACTATTACTTTTGCAGTTCCTATGTTCCCTTTTGACATAAAAGAATAAATATATTGGAGTATTACTAGATGGCTTACTTCAAGGTAATACTTCACACAATATTCCAATATAGAAACATAACTAATATTCACTTTGTTGGCTGACTGATCAAATAATAATACAGCCAAGTCAAACTGAACATAGGTCAATATAATGCAAGATAACCTATGTTCAGATTTAAAATAATAAAATTTTAATAAATAACCTACTCGGAATAAAAATTAATAAATTCCAATGCAAAGATTCTTGTCCAATCTAAAATTGAACATATGGAAATATCATTGTATGGTATATCCTATGTTCACATCTAAAATAATAGAGTCACAAATAGAATGAAAGTATTTAGAAGAAAGAACGAATAACGTAGATTCCAGTGCAAGCATTGTGTTTAATTTTAGAGAAAACATAGGAGAATATGTATCACTATATTATGAATCCTATGTTCATATTAAAAAAAAGAAAGTGGAGAATATTTAGAATAAAGAACGAATAACATAGATTTCAATGCAAGAATTTTGGTTAATTTAAAAGAGAACATAGGAAAATATTGTTTTACAAATCCTATGTTCATATTAAAAATAAAAGAGTGTAGAATATTTAGAATAGAGAACAAATAACGCAGATTTCAACGCAAGAATTTCGTTTAAATTGAGAGAGAACATAGACGAATATAACTGTATTATAAATCCTATGTTCATAATAAAAATAAGAGAGTGTAGAATATTTAGAATAGAGAACGAATAACGTAGATTTAAATGCAAGAATTTGGTTTAATTTGAGAGAAAACAGAAGAATAGCATTAATCCTATGTTCATATTAAAAATAAGAGAGTGCATAATATTTAGAATAGAGGACGAATAACGTAGATTTCAATGCAATTATTTCATGCAATTTGAGAGAGAACATAGGACAATATCATTGTATTATAAATACTATGTTCGCATACGATTGAGACGATAATCCGCGATACGTTGACAGTACAGCAGAACACTTACGACTCTCCAGTATCCGCGTTAATTTACATTATCCAGGCACCGCCGATCCAGAGCTACCGGTCACGTGCTACAACACGTCATCCAGGTGGAGCCGCAGGCACAGAACTGGCACGGACCGCCGGGGGATCCCATGCCCACGATCGGCGCGTACAGAACCCCGTTGGCGATGACCAGCGGCGGCGCTGCCGGTACTTGTGCAGCTGCCACCAGTCGCTGTTGCTGCTGATCCTGGTACAGCACCTGCCAGGCGAGGCCCTTGATGAGCTGTAGGGTTTGGCGTCGCTCGTGTCCCATCAGGCACACGGTGCTCTGCGCCACGACGTCGTGCAGCAGAAGGAGGAAGCTGTGGCGGAGGGAGGCCTCTTCGGGGCCGCTGCCGAAGTGGTTCCACAGGTACGTTTCGAGTTTGACGCGTTGCTGGCCCACGTCGGGGAAGTCGATGAAGAAGCGCGAGCACATGTACCTGGAAACGAAGGAATAGATTACTAAACATAAATATATAGGGTCTCTAAATTCTAGGGATTTCGGATAGTGTGTAGTACAAAACTTTTAACTTTCGCCACTAATTATGCTTCAAAATTTGGAGTAATGTCATTTTGGCCTTTGATTATCACCCGTCAAGAGAAATTGTGGTGAGATATAAAAAGTTTATTAAAGTATAATTGAAGCCACTAATTTCGAGTATTTTGAGGTCATCCATATAAAGCTTAAGAGATACAAAAGAGGCAAAATTATGACAAAGAGATCCAGTTTGATTTTCTGTCCAAATAAAACGCCGTTTTGGCAATTATTCACAATTTGATGGTTTATGAGACACTTTTTCTTCTCACGTATTTTATCGTTTCTAAACATTTTATTATAAAACCTAGCTGATCTGACCAACTTCTACGTCTAATTGACTATACAGGGTCGCTGATATATATGGGAACGGTCGATTATTAGGTAAAATATAAGAGGTACCGCAAAAAGTTAAATATGAAAGTTATAAGGTTTTTAAATATCTTTTAGCGGACAAATTTAAGTATACAGCATCCTAGCGAGATCAAAGTTTCATTTTTTAAATGGAAACCCCCTGTATATTATTGCATATTTCGGTTCTTCCTTCAATTGTAAGCAAAAATCGAGATCCACACAATGTAGTAATATATGTATTGAATTTAGGTACATTATGTGTATTATGTCATTTTAATTAAAAGGTAAATCACATTTTCTGTCGTTTTTTCGAAGTCATCTGTCGAAATTTTCCCTAAATCTTTGGACAGACTATATTGTACAAAGATATTTTTAAAAAAACTTCAAGCTTTCTCAGCGACTTACCTTTCTAGAGATCTGATATAATCAGGATGCGCCGGCCTGTAGTTCTTCACCAACAAGTTACAATACTTCAACAATCCACCTCCACGTATCTCCTCGGGCCTGCGCGTAGAGATCAGCCGCCTCTGCAGGTGATGCAACGCCTCCTGGAAATCCCCGAACACCGACTCACCCACCACGGTAGGATAAAAGTTCTCTGTAATCGGTGGTGGACCTTCACCAGTCCCAGAACACCGATAGAACAGTAATAAGGAATCTAGAACTATCTGGAACGAGTCTACGCTGAACTCAAACTGTCTCCTCATTCTATCCACGAATTTAAGTTCGACTCCTCGTCCTCTAGCGCATCCTAGCGAGATCAATGACCAGCGATCTCCTGTATCTGATGCGCTGTTAACTTTCACCATTTTACTGACGTAGGCTTCCTTGAGACTACAGGTTGAAATACGTTTTCTACTGACGCCATCTGGGAGCATGTCGTAGAGAGAGCTGAGCACGGCCGCCTTGACTCGGTCAAAGTTGCGGGGTGTGGTGAGTTCCACGCCGAAAATCAAGTCGACGTCGTTGTAGGGCTGGTCCTGGCCTGCTGCGAGGACATGGGAGGCGGCTCCTCCGTTCAGTCGGATGTCCCTGACGCGCATGCCCGCGCCTCCAGAGTTGGGTTCGCTCTCCAGTTTGTCCTTGACGATTTCGACAAGGTCCCGGAGCCGCACTTCCAGGGTGGGGAAGTTGCCTCTGCCGTGGATGCTCACCTGGAAAGAAGCAATAACGCATATCGTTAAGAGTCCGAAAAAGTAGCAAGTCTAGTAAAACTGCTAGGTATTTTTACACAAATGAAGAAGGAAATTAAAGATAAAGGATTATACTGTATACGTATTTTAGTAAATTTTTAGACAACTTCTCTATTTTTAAGATTTTGATGGTCAAGGATCAACAAAATATTCCTTATGCTTGGTTTAATTCGGCCACCACCCGCTTTACCCGACCCCTGAGAACGACCCGAACAGTACAGCGTAATAGACTATTAAACTGACGCCAAGGAAAAAATAGTGTTTTGGGATCTCTGGCAAAGTCTTCAGATAATATAGAGTACAGCAATTGATTTGTCCACTATTTTTGGAGTCAATATAGATTTATAAAAGAGTGCTATATTAGTATGAAGTATTTTAATAAAACGCGTTTTAGGATGTATCAAATTTAATGAAAGTAACTTTATCTCTCTACATAATATGCTTCGGCTTTTTCAAGAGTTTCTTAAAACTAACCGTCTAACTACACGGTCCCGATATACAGGGTGAGTCTTATATTATTAATTTTTAATTAGTATTTCAACCCCAGAAACACGTCTATGAATTTTTTTTCACTATTTTTTTTTTAAATTAGGAATTTTTTTATAATTTTTAGTCAAAAAACAGGATGTCTTAATAATATGGTAACAGAGATAGTAGATTAAATTTACAAGAAAGTTAACCCAGAAAAGATCAAGGGGTTTTCAAAATTTAAGCGAAAAATCAATTTTTTGTAATTTTTCAAAATAAAATATTTCGGTTTTTTTGGACGTCTTTCAAAAACGGTAAAGAGAAAATATGTTTCTTTTGTCGAGATCTAACAGGCCTGAAAATATTTGCACTTATTTAAGAACCACCCTGTATATTTGCTACGGGGGTGGATTTAGAGAGTTTACAGTGGAGGTAATAAAAAATGTTGTTTAGGAATTCTTGTTCGTCGTTTACATTATCGTTTTTTTTATAAATATCATATTTTACGGATTCCGTGGGTCCACTAATTTAAACTCACGATAAAATACTTAACGAATTTATTTTCTCACTTTATACACAATTACTAACTTATAACACACAACAAACTAACTATTTATAAGATTCCTTCACCAAATTGTCCGATTTTCAATTTCCACGCGGTATATTCAAATTTCAAAAACTGTCTCAGTTGTCGATGGCTCCGGCTTATATACTCTATTGACTGCTTCTCGAAATTTCCCCAATTCTCGGAAAGCGTACTTCTTCATACCAGACAATTCTATTGTCTGATTCCCTTACTTCTCGACTTGACTAAAAGATGGCGCCTGAAAAAGTCTTTTAATTTCTGGCGGATACGTTGCGGTTGTGCAGGCAACCAGTAATACATTTTTAATTTCTGGCGGATGCGCCATTTTTCTTGACATTGCCCCTTCTCAAATTTGATCGTCCCGATCAAGGTTTCCTGTCTGATATCTCTTCAATCGATCCAGATGAACTACTTTCATCTTACTTCTAGGGCTGCGTTGAATCCGGTACACAACATCATTTATCCTCTTGATGACTGTATAAGGACCTTCCCATGCTGGAGTTAACTTTGGGGACCTCCCTTTCTTGCGCTGTGGGTTATATAACCATACCATATCGTCCTGTTGAAATCCCGTAGAATTAGCTCTGAGGTCGTAACGAGCTTTCATCCGGTCACTGGCTAGCGTAATCTTACTTCTCACGGCCTTATGAATTCCCAATAACCTTTCCTTCAGTTCATCCGCGTAGTCCTCTACGTTCGTGGTGCTGTCGTCTGGTGATCCGAACACCAAGTCACAAGGCAACCGTAATTCTCGACCAAATAAAATCTTCGATGGTGAAAGTCCGGTGGTGTTGTGAACTGCACTTCTATATGCCATTAGGAATAGTGGTATATGCTGATCCCAATCTCTTTGATGTTCATCCACCATTTTCGAGAGATGTTCTTCAATGGTCTTATTGAATCTCTCGACCATCCCATCAGACTGCGGATGTAAAGCTGTTGTCCTAGTCTTGTGAATACCAAGCAGATCACACATCTTCTGGAACAGTCTTGACTCGAAGTTCCTTCCTTGGTCAGTGTGAAGCTCTAAAGGAATTCCAAATCTACTGAAGACATTATTGACTAATACTTCAGCTACAGTCGATGCTTCTTGGTTTGGAATGGCAAAAACTTCTGGCCATTTACTGAAATAATCCATCGCCACTAAAACGTACTTGTTGCCCTTGTGCGTTTCAGGGAATGGGCCTGCAATGTCAACAGCGATTCTTTCGAATGGCAGTCCAACGTTATATTGTTTCATTTTTCCCCTAGATCGAGTGCTTGGTCCTTGGCTGGCTGCACAAATTTTACATTGTCGACACCATTTCTTGACATCTTCGCAATAATCCACCCAGTAAAAGCGATCTCTCAGCTTGCTCAAGGTCTTGTTTACCCCAAGATGGGCTCCAGTTTTACCACCGTGAATTTCTTCCAATACCTGGGTAACTTTCTTCCTTGGTACCAGTAACTGAGTTGTTACTGTGCTGCCATCCGCACTTTCCCATGTGCGCTTTAACAATCCATTCTCAATAACCAGTGAATTCCACTGAGCCCAGAGAGCTTTGAAAACGAGCCCTCTGTCCGCAATATCCTGCCACGGTGGTCTCTCGCCGTTACCTTCCTTGAGCCGTAGTATTGCTCCGATGTCTGGATCTTCCATTTGATCTTTCCTCAATTGTGTCGTCGTCCACTGTTCATCGGTTCCAAGTTTAAACTCCTTATCATGACAGTGCCTTCACGTTGTTCCGTTTTACAGCAGTGCTTACAATCGGTTTGACAGGGTCTTCTGGATAAACCGTCTGCGTTACCATGCATTTTTCCAGCACGATGTTGGATGGTAAAGTGATACTGTTGGAGCTTCTCGAGCCATCGTGCTATTTGACCTTCAGGTTGTTTCATCTCCATAAGCCACTTGAGAGCCGCATGATCTGTCCTAATTAAAAATTCTTGGCCGTACAGATATTTATGAAAATGATCAACTGCCTTTACAATTGCTAGCAGCTCCTTCCGGGTAACGCAGTAATTCCTTTCTGGTTTGGATAGAACTCGACTGTAATATTCTATCACTCGTTCTTCGCCATCTTGCACTTGTGATAGCACTGCACCGATGCCGATGTTGCTGGCGTCGGTATCCAGGATATACCTTCCTTGTTGTTGTGGGTAGGCTAAAATAGGACTTGAACATAAAGCCGCTTTAAGTCTTTCAAAGGCTACATCACAATCGGTGTTCCATTCGTAGCCGACTTCATCACCTGTAAGTTTATGTAAAGGTGCAGCTATGTTGGCAAATCCCTTGACAAATCTTCTGTAATATGTGCATAAACCCAGAAAACTTCTAAGTTCATGTTTGTCGCGAGGTTTAGGCCAATCCTTGATTGCAGCGATTTTCTTCTGGTCGGTGTAAATTCCGTCTGCTGAGACTACATGACCCAAGAATTCCACTTGTCGCTGGAATAAACTACACTTCTTCGGGTTCAAGTACAGGTGAGCATTCCGTATGCGGCCGAAGACATCTTCTAAATTTCGCAAATGCTCTTCAAAAGTTCTTCCCATAACCAATACATCGTCGAGGTAAACCAAGCACGTTTTCCAAGTTAATCCTCTTAACACCACCTCCATGAGAGTTCGAAAGTGGCTGGAGCATTGCATAATCCAAATGGCATAACCTTGAATTGGTATAGGCCGCTTCCTGTAGAAAAAGCCGTCTTTTTCTTTATCGTCCTCGTCCAGACCAACTTGCCAGTATCCACTCTTTAAGTCGAGAGTGGAGAACCAGCACGAACCTGCCAGAGTTGTTAATGTATCATCTATACGTGGCAGTGGGTAGCTATCTTTCTTAGTGACGTCATTGAGCTTCCTATAGTCCACGCAGAATCGTGTACTACCATCTTTCTTCGTCACCAAAACAACGGGAGATGACCATGGACTTGATGATTCTTCGATTACTCCCTCTTCTAACATCTTATCTACCATTGTCTCCATTTCTTGTTGTTTGGAAAGGGGAACTCTTCTAGGACGTTGTCGAATCGGCTGAGCATGACCAGTATTAATCCGGTGCTTCACAAAATCCGTTCTTCCACTGTTGTTCTTCTCAAAAATACTGCCATGCTTTAGCAGGAACTCCTTAGCCTTCTGTTTCTCCTCAGATGTTAGGTGATCCCATGGCTGCTCTAGATGTTTTAGTGTTTCTTGGGATGCCTTTTGTGTAACAGCTGACGACACTTCATCACATCGGGTAACACTTCTTACAGGTTCGCTGAGATGGCTATCTTGTCACCTTTTTGGATCTTGACACAATTCGGGAAAACATTCGCAATTCTGATCGGTACATTCTTGTCGGTGTTCATCAATGATTTTCCTACTAAGTACCTATCTTGTTTCTTGTCGCTACTTTGTACCAGTCCAACACAGCACCCAGCGATTTTCTCCACTTTACCGAATACGATCTTCTCGGTATTACCAGGTATCACCACAGTTTCCGCTGATCTTACATCCATTCTTCCTGGTCCCTCGTCTGGAGATAACATAAACTCTTCATTTCCGATATTCAGGATATTTCTCTGGTGATCGAACGAAAATCCATGTTGACGAATCACATCCATGCCCAAGATGAAGTCATCTTCAATATCTGCCACTAAAACGCTATGCTGGAACTTCAAATTTCCTAACTTCAGTTCGACGATAGCCTCTCCCCGTACAACGGCCATTTCCCCCGTAACTGTACGTAAACACACTCTTCTTCTCAGAGGCATCAGCTTCAATCCTTGCACTGAGTTAGCCCGCACCAACGATACCATAGCGCCAGTGTCCACTGTCATTCGGATTCCCTTTCCATTGACTTTCCCGTCGATCACCAAACTGTCAGCGGTTCTTCCTAGACTTCTAATGGAAAAAATCCTGGGGGCTCTGTTCTCCCCAGTCAATACTCGCCCCTTAGTATTGACTGATTTTAGTTTTCCTGGTGCCTACGTTCTCTGGATGGTGAACGGGATCGCATTTGAACGCGGCAATCCCGTTTGATGTGGCCATTCCTGCCACATCTAAAGCACCTTATGTCCTGGAATCTTCTCTGGTTCTCTGTCTGGGTGTTGTTGACTCCCTTGTTTATTAGTAGCTCACATAGTTTGTCGACTTTCTTACACATCTCCTCCAAACCTCTGTGAGTGCTTTCGGGCTGTTCCTCGACCGTTACCGATCTTATCTTCGGCCTAGGGATGGCGCTAAAGGCAGCTTCGATTTCCAGCGCCCTGACCAGTGCTTCGCTGCTGGTGGAAAATCGGGATATTTGCAGCGCCCTCTGTAATTCGTTGTCCCTCAGTCCGCTGATAAAGCACTGAGCAGCGAGTTCCTCCCTAAATCCTTCCGGTGCTTCTGGATATGCCAGGTGTACCAGCCGACGTAAGTCTGCTTCAAATTCCTGCAGACTCTCTCCGGACCTCTGCAGGCGTGTCTTGATCTGTGCCTGGTAAAGTTGGCGTCGATGTTGGTCGCCATATCTTCTGTCCAGTGCAGCGACCAAAGTTTGATATTCCTGCTGTTGGGCTGCAGGAATAGTTTGCAGGAGTTCCAGGGCAGGGCCACGCAGCGCGATGACAAGTGCCGCTGCTTTCTCCTGGTCAGTCCATCCATTGGCAGCAGCCGCTGCTTCAAACTGGCGGTGGTACATCGTCCAGGTGGTTTGTCCATCGTAGGTCGGGGCCTTGAGGTTCGCAGTTCCATAACGCCAGGTGTTCTTACTTGTGCCTTGGTCTTCTGTAGGTCCATCTCCAATCTTTCTATCTTCTGCTGAAGGCGTTCCTCAAGATCTTCTACGGTTTCTTGAAGTTGATTTTCCTGCCGTTTTCCAGGTCTTCAAAATTCTTCTGTAGTCGAAATTCCTGATTTTCCAAAGTTTTCTTAAGACGGTCCTGATCTTCTTGTCTTTCTTTCTGGCGGCGCGTTTCTATATCTTCTAAAATTTCCCTCCATTCATTCTTCTGACGAATTTCTAAATTGCCTAAAATTTTCTCAAGCCGGTCCTGTTCTTCTTCTTTGTCTTGTTGTCGTTGAATTTTCAAATCTTGGAAAATTTTTCAAGCCGGTCCTGTTCTTCCTGTTTATCTTGTTGTTGTTGGAATTTCAAATCTCGAAAATTTTCTCAAGCCGGTCCTGTTCTTCTTGTTTTTCTTTCTTTTGACGCGCTTCTAAACCTTCTAAGATTTTTTCTTGATTTTCCATAAGTATTTTCAAAAGGTGGCATTGTTCCTCTTCTTTCTCTCTTTCTAATCGGGCTCGCTCTTCTTCTCGTTCTCTACGTAGCCTTTCTTGTTCTTCTGCCTTCTCTCTTCTCATATTTTCCATAAAATCGCCCAATAATTTGCTTACTTCCTCCATTTTCTTCGCTTGCTCCCTTTGTACCAACCATAAAAATACTCTAATTCGGTCTAAAAATCTTCCAATCCACTTAATTTCTTTTAAAATCCTCTTGAATCGCACTTCCGACACCAATTGTTACGGATTCCGTGGGTCCACTAATTTAAACTCACGATAAAATACTTAACGAATTTATTTTCTCACTTTATACACAATTACTAACTTATAACACACAACAAACTAACTATTTATAAGATTCCTTCACCAAATTGTCCGATTTTCAATTTCCACGCGGTATATTCAAATTTCAAAAACTGTCTCAGTTGTCGATGGCTCCGGCTTATATACTCTATTGACTGCTTCTCGAAATTTCCCCAATTCTCGGAAAGCGTACTTCTTCATACCAGACAATTCTATTGTCTGATTCCCTTACTTCTCGACTTGACTAAAAGATGGCGCCTGAAAAAGTCTTTTAATTTCTGGCGGATACGTTGCGGTTGTGCAGGCAACCAGTAATACATTTTTAATTTCTGGCGGATGCGCCATTTTTCTTGACAATATATATTTCTAAATATTAACATTGCTAACTCTTGAACTATTCTCAAATCACAGACGGGTAGACAGTTCTAAAAAGTTTTCTAAAATATACAGGAAAAATTAAAAGAAAATGCACGATTTTCAACATCTTTTTTGCGAAAAAAATCCTCGTAGACGTGTTACTAAGGTCCAAATATACCTCTCCAGAAATATTTGCACTTATTTAAAACTCGCCCTGTATAAACGCTCAATTCGTAGCTATTTCTTAATCTATACAGCTACCCTAGTTAACCTGCTGCCACCATTACAAGATCGATCATATAGTTTTTGGCGTATTTTTATATTAGGTACTGGGTAATTCGTTTAAAGCGAATTTTTCTTTGTTTAAACTATACTATGTATTTCTTTATTATTTATAACGGTCTATTAATTGGGATCCTGTAATCCTGTCGAGACTATGAGACTACGATATATATATTATTGTTTAATTCTTAATATAAATATTATTAGTTTAGTTTTAAGCATCTGCTGATGATGCTAACATGATGAGCGAAACTCGCGATCAGTGTAGTAAGTAAAGTGTTTTGGTGTATTGTAGTGAATTAGTGTCTTATTTTGCTAGATTAATAAACAAACAGTACCAAAAATAACACTCACCGTCTCGTCCATGACGTCATTGAGCCGGCAGATCTGCTCATAGGACAACACCGCCAACCGTGCCTGCGTCTCCTCCTCGCTCCTCAACCTAGTGCAGCTTTCCAAGTCCACCTGGTCTTCCGAGCAGTCATCTCCGATGTCGCACTGAAACAAAACACCATCTTTCAAATCTTTCGAACCATTATTATTATCTGAAGCATTGCGAGCTTCAGTTGTTGCGTTGGGGTTGCCCATGATGACGCGAAAGATTCAAACAGATCTAGTAGTCGCTGGTCCGGTGTGCCAGAGATATTTAGTCTGTGGGGGAGGTTGCCCGGAGACGAGATTCGCCGTGACGTCATTACTATGGCGGGGGCGGCATGAATGAACGCGGCGTGGGCGACGGCCGTGTTGCCAGATGGTGTTGGCGCCGAATATTAAATGTTTCGGGGATAAAAATAGATTCGTGATAGAATCAAAGCGTTTCTTTTGTGCCGGAGGAAAGGAAAGATTATTTACGGCAATTTTGGTTTAAAAGATACTTATTCTTGTTGGACGATGTTTTGCAAAATTAGAGATGAAAGAGAAAAATTAAGGTAGGAAGCGTTAATGAGAAGTTGAACATACATTTTTTATTGCGTTTTGTATTTTTAAAGCAATATACAAGGTGTGGAAATAGTAGATAATAGTAGAAGGATAGCTGAAGTAGTATAAATAGTAGAAGAATATATATAGGGTGGTCCGAACAGTATTCCGGAAACTTTGGCAGCATATTCTGCAGATAAAAATAAGTAAAAAAGTACGAAAAAATGTATGTCCTAAAATGCTTAGATTCCGAGATACAGGGTGTAGAAGTTTCATTTTTATTTCGATTTTTTCCAAATAATTTCTGAAGTAAAGTCAATATTTGGATGAAAATTGGTATTCTATGTATATAAAATGGGGGTTCTATGTATATAAAATTAGGATAGGAAACTTATTATAGCCTTAAGGATAGGAAACTTATTATAGAAGCGGAAGGTGAGACCCAAGAAATACCCTTGAGCAGTGGTGTACCCCAAGATTCCATACTTGGACCCACATTGTGGAATATCTTATATGATAGCCTACTCAGAATGGAAATGCCGGTCGGAATATCTTTAATCGGTTTTGCCGATGATATAGCCATGACAATAGTGGAGAAGGATGAAAAAATTCTCATGAACAAAGCAAATACCGGCCTTCAACGAATTTCAAACTGGATGGAAAGCAAATTGCTTAAACTTGCACCACAGAAAACAGAGGCAATAATATTAACAACAAAACGAAAGGTGAAGCCAATAAGCTTTTCTATAGAGAGCGTGGATATTATTCCATCAAAAGCTATCAAATACCTAGGAGTATGGCTGGACCCTAAATTAAAATTTACGGAACACATAATTCGAACTATACAGAAATCTGGAAAAACACTAACAGCAATTAAAAAAGTCTTGCATCATGCCAAACATGGTGGACCAAGATCCTCCAAAAGAAAAATATTAGGTAGCGTAATACACTCTCAAATACTCTATGCGGCTCCATTCTGGCACACCGTAACGAGTAATAAAAGCAGAACAAAAAAACTCGCGGGATCCAAAGACTTACTTTTATCAGAATTGCAAGTGCCTACAGAACAACTTCTACAGAGGCAGTAGGCGTAATAGCAGGCGTCCCACCCATAGACCTATTAATAGAGGAAAGAAAGGAAATTTACAATGGAGTACAGAAGCAAATCGCAAGAGGGGACCTACTCAACAAGTGGCAGGAAAGATGGGTGAGAGGAACAAAAGGAAGATGGACATATAATTTGATTCGTGATATTAGGCAATGGATATCCAGGCCATACGGAGAGACTGATTACTTTGTCACGCAAGCTCTATCGGGACATGGTTGCTTTATGAAGTATCTAACGGAAAGAAAGAAACCGGACTCAGATAGTTGCAACTACTGTGGAAATAGTGATGACGCAGAACATACACTGTTTAGATGTACGAGATGGGACTACATTCGTAATGATTATAAAACTCATACCGGCTCAGTTTTCAATACGGAAAATATGATGAAATGCCTCACTGGGACAGAGGAAATGTGGAAACTAACTGCAGGGATACTAAGACAAATATTAGAGGAAAAGGAAAATGATATAAGAAGACAGTAAGCAGACAGCTATCATGGCGAAGTAATGCGGAAGCAGTTTCCACCATGATCAGCGTTAGGGAAGTGTGGGTTTTTTTTTAGCCGGTAAGAATCCGGCACTACCCGGCACTAAGGACAGTAGTTTACTGTTATTAGTGCTGGGTGTCTTATGCAAGATTCTCTTTCCCACAGAATAAAAAAATAAAAAAAAATGTATATAAAATTGGCGTAAAAGTGCTTCACTTTTATGCCTATGCGTTAAAATGACTTTTTTATACTGTCAATTAAGTCGTAAAAATTAATACCTTTGTGACGTTTGAAAAAAAAAACGTTTTTTTTGTCAATTTTTTTTTCGTTAATTATCCAGGGTGTTTCCAAAAACCTGGCAACCGTGTCTGCGACTCGCCCACTCATCCCGTTTGTTCCAGAACCGCCGAAATATGCCCGGACTTATCGATCGCACGCTGTTTACATGCACACGGCAAAACGCAGTACGCTCTGTGTTCCAGAAAAAAATCCGGTCGCGTCTGGATAGATGGGAGGACGCCCTCCCCCCCTCCCCCAAGGCAACAAGTATGGATGGCGGGGAGCACAAACCATCAATGGAATGGATACGCGGGGGGAGGCCGTGAAAAGAGGGATGGAGTAGTTTGACGTAACGGCCGAGAGATTTAGGTTTGGGTGGATGCTGTTGCGTCATGGCGGTAACAGAGTTCGAAAAATTTCAAAAAACAGAATTATAATAAAGGCTATTTCTTACTGGTAAAGTTACTGGTCTACCAGTGAACACTCAAAAAATATATAAAAATAAAAAAAAAACACAAAGTCTTCCAGATATTTGTTCTGAATACGGAAATTCTGAAGCTTCTTTGCTTCCTATTGCAATTCTGCATCGAAATAATCGATTTCTCTAAAAATTTTAAGTTATATCCAAATTTAAGAAAAAAATTTTGTAAAATAATAGTTCGAAAAAATTTTCGTTTGTTTATTTGAGGACATTTTGATTATTTTTTCCATAGCAACTGTTAAACTTGCCTTATATCTATCAAAAATAGTAGATAAAATAGTACTTTAACAGCGAGGATAGGTTAAAAACTTTATTTCTTCTCGCACGTTTTTTAATTGCTTCCAATTTTGAAAATTTTTGTATTCCTTTTCATAAGTTATTCGGGATTTAAATGGAAGTAGTTTGGATATGGCGTTTATCACCTCAGCCTGAATATCTGTTGGTAATTTACTTATTTCGTTTTGAGCCATTTCTTGCTCCAATTCAATCAGCAATCGACACGAAAGAGAATTAAAAAATATTGACTCAAAATTGACAACTAAAGAGACAGCTTTATTTATTTGTCAAATTACATAGAAACCAACGTCAGTGCGAAAGTCATTGACACAAAGCTATATGGATGTCAGAGTCGTCTTTACAAAGATACAACTTGGTTGAAGATTCTGTTGAACATTTTCGAGATTTTTTCAAGACTTTCAATACACTGCGCAGATTTTCTGGCAAGATTGTTACCGTATACACGGTAATATAAGAAACTTTCCAGACCACCCTCGTAGATCATAAAAAATACACAAACAAACTACAATAACACACTTATATACTTGTTCCAAGTCCCAGTGAGCTCGCAATTGGCTTTTATTAAATTCTAATTCTATATAATCCAATTGCGGTGGATTATGGGGAATCGAAGTTATTTGTTTTCGTAAAAACGTAACCACACGTTTGGCCAAAGTTATACTTAAACTTGTTAATTAATAAACTTTCGACTCGACAAATGCATAATTTATGGGTTTTTGATTAGTACGCGTTCAATAGGAAAAATAACGTTTTTTATTTTGTAAATAGTATGAGTATATATCATTATATACTTCAATAATACTAATAATTAAAAATAACTTCCTTTTTAATAGATTTAAACAATAACAAAGAAAAAACACAGAGTAAAAACGTAAGCAAATAGGTTTGAAAATAAAAAAACTTATTTGGGTTTAAAGGAAGATCTAAACTATCGCTAGAGAATAAACTTCTTTTATACATATACTAATGGAACACCCTGTATGATTTTTAAAAAATTTCAAAATATGTAAAAAAACGAAATAAATTATGCTTGTCCAAGCGTTTTCCTGAAAGACTAACCGTTTTTTAAATAAGAAATATTGTAATATTTGAGGGGTGTTTTGACCCTCTTGGAATTTGAGATTCGAGAAACCCCTCCTTATCGAACCTCTACACCCCACAGTCAATCCGTTTGCCAAAAATCAGCTTTAAACGTCAAGCAGTTTAAGCAGAATCGTGATTCCTCAATGGTCATATTTTATAAAACACCCTGTATAAATTTATAAAAAATCTTAAAATATGTAAAACAACAAAATAAAATATACGTGTTTAAGAGTTTTTCCGAAGAACTCACCGGTTTTTAAATTAAAAAATAGTTTAATATTTGAGGGATAGTTTCACCCCCTTAGACTTCGAGTTTCGAAAAATCCCTTCTTATCGAACCTCTACACCCTAAAAGTCAATCTGTTTTCCAAAAATCAGCTTTTTACGTTAAGCGCTTTAAGCAGGATCGTGATTAATCAATGATCAGATTTTTCAAAACACCCTGTATACATTTTTAAAAATATCTTATAATCTTAAAATATGTAAAAAAACAAAATAAAATACACGTGTGTAAGCGTTTTTTCGGAAACTTGGCCGTTTTTTAAATTAAAATATTGTAATATTTGAGGGGTGGTTTCACCCTCTTGGAACTGGAATTTCTAGAATCAACCTGTATGCCAAAATTGAGCTTCTTACGTTGAGTGGTTTGATCAGGATCGTGATTAATCAATATGTCAGTCACTTAAGGATTTTATATATTAGTATAGATAATAATACCTATTTGGACATAATATGGAGTAGAACTCTGGGGATGCGCTAGTAAATCAAACATAGCTTTAATACAAAGGAGCCAATCCAAAATTCTTGGATGATAACAAACGCACCATGGTATGTCTCCAATCAT